CAGTGTGTCTGCTTATGATCTCTGCGCTGGCCCTGTGACACGTGTCAGCGGTCATGTGCCTGAAACCCGAAATCTGCAATAAAAGGCAACTATGATTAATCTTGGCAAGATCTGTTGTAAAGGCCTCCTATTATTGTTCTGGCTCAAATCTGCCATAGAGGTCTTCTATGACTGTTCTTGCTTGAATATGTCATAACTAATGGTTATCATGGATTTCGACTGACTGCTGGGGACACTCCATCTGGAGGTAGCTCGGCATGATCATTATCCAATAGATACTTTTGAGGTGACACCAAGGTCTGGTGTGAATGAGTTGGTCTTCAACACGAGTGTTCAGTGTGTCGACTGATTGATTGAGTGTGCCATGGGACCGGATGCACAGAAGCAGAAAGAGTAGAAGTCAGATGAGGAGGAGCACAGGAATTGCAGGATCAGGCCAATGAAGGGTTACGACAGAGTTCATTGAGATCTGTAGTAGAAAGGCTCTATGACAGATCTCATCCAAATTGCCCCAAGCAGGTTTGTATCATGAATCCTGCCAGAATTGGTAGTATCTCAATTGTATGATAGATCTTGTGGAAGCTGATGAGAGGATGCCAATTCCCACAGGTCTCACAGCAGGACAAACATCGAAGACATTGGGTCTGCCTCCCTGATGAAGCAGGGGGCCGACCTGACGATGAACTCAGTGCAGGAGGGTTGCCCTCGATAACTAGAGTCTTCCAATAGTGAAAAAAGGCCAGAAAATTGATGCCCCCAAATGTAAGCTGTGTTTTTAGACCAAGAGTTAAGGTAGTGTTGGCCAGAACATGAAGTGTCAGCCAGAACATGAAGCAGTTCTGGAATCCAAACCACCTTGTAGCTCCACCATCTTTGACACTCTCATCACACAATCAAAGTATATACAGTCATTATTGACACCATGGGTTCATGCAAAACAAGTTGTGCAGGAAAAGTGGAGGCATTTGCACAAGTAAATCACATGCAACATCATGTGAGTGAAGACTCAGCTCCAATTCTGAAAACTCTGCTGCAACTGTCCAGCTGAAGCAGTGTTTTCAAAAATTAGAGTATTTTCCAAAATGGCAGAGCTTACGTAAGTAATGAGTATTCAATGCAAGTGAAAACTCAAAAAAAACTTGAGTTTCCGGAAAAAAAAAAACTGAAACCCCCTATTGTGGGAATGGCTATATAATCATGCTCCTCGTCATAGTAGTGAGTGGATCCCCATCCACTCTACACCTTACAGTACTAGCTATAACTTCACAACAAGTATACTTAGTAGAATTGTCACCAGTAGCAATTGCAGAGCATTGCTACTATCATAGTGCATGTGTTGTATCACTGCTTGACACCATCTGAAGGCAGTTCATTCTGCATTCTGGAGATCAATCAACACCAAAGGTGGTTCACACTGCAGTCCAGCTCTCTTGATCATTAGAACCAAAGGCAGTTGTCCACTGCAGTCCAGGGATCACTTACTCAACTCATTGACACACTGGACACTTGTGTTGAAGCCATCACATTAGCATCAGACCTTGGTGCCACCTTATCTCAAGGTATCTATAGGATATTGATTGTGCCAAGCTACCTCTGGACAGAGTGTCCTCAGCAGTCAGTTGAAACCTGTGATAACCTTCAAGCTACCACATATTTGAGCAAGAAAAGCCATAGAAGGCTTCTATGACAGATTTCAGCAAGATTAATAATAAAGGGCCTTTACCACAGATCTTGCTAGGATCAGTAGTAGTTGTCTTTTTACTACAGATTTTGGGTTTCAGGTGCATGACCGCTGACACTCCACTCCAGAGAGGTTGTGTGGGAACGTTCCTTCAATCCAGCTGTCATCTTCTGGGTGGCCAGTGTGGCCTTGGAACCTGACCATGTGGTCATCACCCTCCTGGCATTGAAGACTGACCCCTTCTGGCTTGGTGTCAAGGTGGTTTCCCCCCTCATGGGTGGGCCTGAGTGCTCCATCTCTCACCTCCAACCTTTTCTCTCCCAACCAGCCTCCTCTCCCCTCTTTGGCCTTGGCCCCTCCAGATCTGCACCCCTCTCTTGCTCTGCCTTCATCTGAACACTCTGACAGGTGATTGCAGCTTCTGGCCTCTCCCCCTTGGCCTATGCTGGCCACTCCTCCTGCCATGGTGCCACCACCTGGGCTGCCAGCCTTGGTGCCAATGCTGACACCATTCAATGTCTTGGCCAATGGAACTCCAACTGTTTCCAGTGCTACATCAACCACTTGGCAGCAGAGCATTGGGACCTCTCCATCACTGCTCTCTACTGTCTTTGGGACAGTCCACTCATCCCCCACACTGCCTTGTGGCATGATGTGGGTTCCTCCTAAGCTGCTCATAATGGCCCCATCCCTGTCAAGACTGCTCTCTGCAGTGCAGGCAGCTCAACACTCAGCTGGCAGGCTGGGAGCCTTTGAGCCAGCAAGCCACCTCGCTGACCCACAATCTAACAGGACCTCCATATTGTCTTCTGCATCGACTGACTGACCCTCATCTTACGGCCGTGTGAGCCAGGCTGGGAAGGTTTTTTTTTTTTTTTTTTTTTTTTTTTTTTTTTTTTAAATTTTGCCGGCTTTCGGGTAGTTTTGTTTGATCTTATCGTCCAAGTTTTTGGAGACTTGTTGCTCCACTTCTTCTCACCGTCTGCCTGTCACCATGATCATCAACAACAGCTCGCAGCGCTCCAGATTGCTAAGCGTATGCTTCTCCATCTCTCCACCTACCCTCTGTTTCGTTCCTTTGTCGCTGCGAGTCTCGGCCACCACCTTCGCTCTCGCACGCTTTGCACCACCGTTGGCACCTACAGAGCCGATAGCTTATCTCGAATCTGGCAGCGTAAAATGGAAATCAAATCTCGTTATGCCGATTGGACCAAAGATTCCCTTCTCTCTCGGATAGCTGAACTCGAAGCTCAAACTACTTGCCTTCGCGCAGCCAAAGCTGAGGTTGATACTCTTGCCCACCTCTCTTGCTCTTCCCATCCTGCTACATTGCATGAGCAGGGGGGACAGAAGAAGGGAGGTAAGAAAGAGAAGAAAGCAAAAGAATTCGATTTCGCTTCTTCTCCATGTCGCAAAATAGCTCTCCGCTTTTCTTACGATGGAGCTGGATATTCTGGGTTAGCTGCACAAAATGTCACGCCTCATGGTACAGGAAGCAGTTTGCCGACGGTGGAGGGGGTTTTGTGGGACGCACTTTGTACAGCTCGTCTCGTTGATCCATCGCTGGGTATGGATGGCGCTGGGTTCAGTCGGTGTGGACGAACGGACAGGGGTGTTAGTGCAGCTGGTCAGGTGGTTGCGCTTTGGGTTCGTAGCAAAAAGGTTAATCATTGGGTTGATCGAGTTTCCCTCCAATCCTCCTTTCCCAGCCCCTCTCCACTTCCACCACTCAGCGAGGAGCTGGAGGAGAAACGCAAGGCGAAGCTGGAGAAGGTAGAGTTGCCATATGTTCAGATCTTAAACCGAATCCTCCCACCGACGATCAGGATTCAGGCTTGGTCTCCTGTGAGGGCGAATTTCAGTGCAAGGTTCGATTGTACTTATAGACATTACAAGTATTTCTTTCCCTCCGGTCCACCTTCGGTGTTTTTGCCACCTAACTCTCCCTTCCCCTCTTCCTCGTCAACATCAGCAGGGGTTGATGCAGAAGCGACAAGATTGGATATAGGTTTGATGAGGGATGCAGCAAAGAGACTCTTGGGCGAACATGATTTTAGGAATCTTTGCAAAGTTGATGCTTCCAAGCAAATTACGAATTATAGAAGACGTATTGATGGAGTTTCGATCGACCGGGTCTCTTCGTCTTCTTTGTGGCCGACAACTTCAAATCCGATAGGAGAAGGAGAAGTGGAAGGGGGGGAAAGCGGGGAAGGGGGTGAGGGGGAAGGAATGTTTGTTCTCAATCTGAGAGGAACAGCATTCCTCTACCATCAGGTGCGGAATATAATGGCGATCCTTTTTCTTATTGGAGCACGTCTAGAAAGACCAGAGGTGATAGAGGAATTGATGAATACGCAAACGGGACAGATTGCTTCCGATCGGATCAAGATGCGCTTAGCTGCTAGCAACTCTCTCTCCTCCACGGACGGAGAGGGGATTGAATGGTGGTTACCAATCAACTCCACCTCCCCTTCCTGCATCCTTTCTTGTTCATCTCCACAAGTGGAGCATTTACCTATGTGGATAGCTTCCTCACTAGCCACCGACCCCTCGTCGCACTCCGCCTCGGACTCGACACTGGAAGTATACACGACGAAAGCAAATTACGAAATGGCTTCAGACCGACCGCTGGTCCTTTGGGAATGTGGGTTCCTCCCAACCGACATTTCATGGCGTGTTGCGACTTTCGATGGCCCCACTCTCACTTCTGCCACCCAGAGAGAGGTGCAAGAGAACTGCAATACTGCAAGCAACTGTTTGCTGAGAACACACAAGAGTTGGACTCAGCAAACAATATCAGCCGAGTTAATGCGACATTTTGTGCTTGCCAGTCCAAGTGCCTGCACTGGGACGCTGCCAAGCCGGACAAGTTTCAACGATGCTGCCTATCCGTACCTTGCGAAAGGCGAACCGAAGCTTGGACTTGAGATGGATGGGGGGAAGGCAAGGGAAGAGAGGGGTAAGAGCCGGGTGATTCCACTGGGAAATGGAACAGGAAGAGGAGCAGCTAACTACATCCCCCTCAAGCAAAGACCGAGGGAGGAACCGTATCAAGTAAAGAATAAGAGATGGGCTGAGACTACTGGTAAGCGAAGAGCCGAAAGAAAAGCAGCCCAACAAGAAGCAGACTGAGTTGATGCATGACGATGGATGAACCATCACTTGACCCTCGCTCTCTAGTTTCACTTGCTGATCTTGGTTGATGCGACAGCTCTCTATATCGAGACATGCAAGTTAGCAGATGGTAATAGTTGTGTGTGAGTGGGTGTGAAGTGATTTCTTTGCTGTGAGCTTTTGATGCAGTGATAAGAAGGCGGATTCAGAATCGAATCGGACCTTTGACTCGAGGAAAAGGGACAACATCCCTAACACTAAGCGTTCCAGTAACCCAAGCCAATAGCCTTTCTAGACCCATCCCGAAACCAGCATGTTGGACACTTCCACCGTATTTCTTCAGATCTTGGATGTACCATGCTAATTTTTCCTTGAGATCATCTGCGCGCAACTCGTTGAGATTTTTCTCCAACTCCTCTGGGCGATGTTCTCTTACCGATCCACCCACCAACTCGCCTAGGTTTGGAAATAGGAGATCGAAACACTCCACCAAGCTTTCCTCCTGACTAGAGGCGGAGGCGGAGGCGGAGGCGGAGGCGGTGGGAAAACCGGAGCGTTTCATATAAAACGCCTTCAACCCAATCGGATAATGCGTTACAAAAACCGGCCCCAGCAGTGCAGACAGATATCGTTCGTGTTCGCTCGCCAAGCCATCTTGCACCCTGGGCTGAATGGAGAAGGTATTGGCTGGTGCCTCAGCTAGGAGTTGATGAGCTTGATGGTAAGTGATTCTCTTCCATTCAGCCTGCACTACCTGTTTCAAGATGTCGAGATGCTTTTGACCTGCCAATGATTCCAAATCCTCTTGCCCGCTCTCCATCGCCGCACGAACAGCGTGTTTAAGCATTGCTTCAGTAAGATCGAGTATAGCCTGGAGATTGATGAAATAAATTTCAGCTTCCACCATCCAAAACTCTGCCAAATGTCTATTCGTCGCACTACCCTCCGCCCTAAAGGCCGGATTCATGGTCCAAACTCTACCGAGACCCAATCCTGCTGCTTCAAGGTGAAGTTGGGAAGAAACAGTAAGATATGCTTTAGTTCCGGACCAAAATGCACTCCAATCTCCATCTTTCTTGGCAGAGGTGAGATCTGATGCAGAGCACACCTGGAAGACTTCCCCCGCCCCTTCACAATCGCTTGCGGTTAAGACTGGGCATGAGACCTTGATGAAGTCTTGTTTGCACAGGTAGTCTGAGATCCCCTGCTCCAAACGGTGTCGTGTTTTCGCTACAGCTGCGAATCGAGGCAAGCGACCAAGAAGGTGTGGATTCCGTCGTTCGGAAAGAGAAGCACTATAGCCCGAATCTTGGACTGCCGTGTGCGAGTGTTGCATAGTGACCGCAGCAAGGGGGTAGCTTAGGTCGCAAGGAGAGAGGGCTTCGATTGAGGTGGTGGAAAGTTCAACTTCTTGGCCTCGTTTGGTTCCGCGACCGGGATGGAGGGTTCCGGTGAGACGAAGGGCTGTGCCAACAGTAAGTCCTGCTAAGCGATCAATGTCGGTGGAAGAGGAATCTTTGCAAGAGCGAACGATGGCTTGTAAAGAGCGAGATCCAGGGAGGGAACCATCGGATAATTCAAGGAATGTAAGTGATTTTAGTTTCCGTGCCGATCTCAGCCATCCCGTCACGCTGACCGGGATCGGATCGGTTGCGCCAGAGTCGAATGTGGTTTGGGCGCGAGCGAGCAATTGCGAGAGCGATTCTGGCATCTCCTTTCCAGTCCTAGTCGAGGTGGAGTAGTGGCGGGTGCTGGTGGCGAAACTTGTGGAAGAGCTACCGAACTTGGTGGAGGTGTCGTCGTCGTTGTTGCGCTTGCGATTCCTGCTTAGGTTTTCGCCAAATAGATTCCTCTTCGTCCTAGGCCATGAAGGTGTAGGCGCAGCACTGGAGGAAGCGGAAGGGTGGCCTGCAAACCCCGCTTCTTGCCAAGGTTTCGGCTTAGTACTCTTCCCCACCTCAAGTTGCCTCCAAATCCCCTCAATGTCGTAGTTGAAACGAGCTTGTTCAGTCATAACATGAACCATACACCAATCAGCATCCACCAAACACCAATTGCCATCCCCCTTCTTCCCCCCCGTTTTACTCTTACTCGTCACGCGCAACGCCGATGCATCAGATGCTGACATTACCAAGCCTTCATACCTCACTGGTTGAATGCCCGGCAATCCATCATCCTCTTGCAACTCCAACTCCTCTTGCAACTTCAACTCCTCTTGCAACTCCTGCTCCTCCTCCTCCACCGCTGTCGTTGCCTCGGGATCTTGTTCAATTTCAGGTGATTCGCCGTCTTGTACTAGTTGGCTCTGTTCTTCTTGCAATCTACGGATCTCTGCAAGTTCTGAAGTTTCACGTTCGGCTGCTCGTTCGACAGCCCTACGGTCTTGTCTCGAACGGGTTTCTCCTGAAATCGCCCATCTCCCCGACCGCAGGATGCGACGAATGCTTTCGGTGGAAATACGGAACCGATGGCTGAGTGCAACAACATCAAACTGCTCCGGATCGGAGGAGTGAAGTAGTCGAATGCCTTCCTGTGCTTCTCGGGTGAGGATCTTGGGTGGTCTCCATCCATCAGGGAATTTCTTCTTTAGCGCGATTCTATGCACTGCCCAGTCGGGTAGGCTTTTGCCTAGTTCGTGTTCTATACGAGACATTCCTTTTGGTCGACGAGTAGCTGGTGCTGTGTCTGTCGCCGTGGTTGGTTTTGGCGTTGCAGGTTTCAGGTGGTAGCGTGGCGCCGAGGGGCCAGGACCGAGAAATTCATCGAGATCCAGTTGATCTTCTATTGCAGGTGGACGGGTGTGTTTGAGAAATCGACCAATGTCGAGGGCTACACGACGAACGCTACCTGCAGCACTGCTTTTGACCTGTACGACGACGATCCAATCGTTGGTGCCGTATGCATCGGATTCGGGGTCTTTGGAGAGTGAGGCAGGGTGGATGAGGGTGATTGGTGTGAGTTGATCTTCCTCTTCGCTTGGTCGGACTATTAAGTTGGCAGAAGGGCCAGAAAGGAGGTGCGATTTGAGAGAGGCGATTGCTTTTGGCTCATCGACTTTGGGCGCGATGGGGATGTAGGAGAAAGTGTTGGTTGATGTGGATGTGTCGAGCTGAGTTAGAGTGTCGGTGGCGGGGTCTCTTGCCGGTGGCGGGGGATCTATTGTTTCGGTTTGTAAGAACCAAGGGATGTTGGGGTCTGTACCGCTTAGCTCGTCGCTGATGTTGGACGGTGTAGTGCTCGTGGTGGTAGCGCTGGTTTGGAGGTGCTCGTCAACGTCTTGCCCCTGTTGAACTGCACGACGTAGAGGTTGACGCGGCAAGCTTGTTGTGCCCGAAGAAGTAAGCAAACGCTTGTTACTAGCCTGTATCGAAGTCGAGCTGCGTAAAGGTGCAGCAGCAGCACAAATGACCGAGTTCGAAACGGGACCAATCGTAGCCCTTACGGACCATCTTGAAACCCTAGCGAGCATCCTTTTGCAATGCGATGTATGGCTTGTAAGATTGGCAGTACCGATAAGATGGTGGCGAAGAACAAGTTGCACAAGTCGCACAAGTCGCACAAAACATCTCAGAGTTTCTCCACTTTTTTTTTTTTTTTTTTCTTTTTTTTTCTTTTTTTTTTTTTTCTGACTGCCAATGCAGAAGATCTTGATTAGTAAGCATGAATAAAAAATACGATTAGTAAGCATGATTAGTAAGCATGACAGAGGCGAAGAATCAGCGGCTCCCGTGCGAGAGTTGAGCAGGGCGACGAAAAGGCAAGAAGATGGCAACTGCTTTTGGTCGTCCTCGTCGTCGTCGATATCATAGTCGATTACTTTGCTCTCCGCCTCTTGTACAGCATACATATATATTCAAGATGCGTAAGTGTCGACAGCAACAATAGCACCAGCACTGGTAGCCGGCAGCAACACACGAAGGACCAATCAAGGGTTCTAGCAGTGCCGGCAGACACACCGCAACCTGGTAAACAAAAAGAGACAATACATACTTACCATCCCCACCCTGCCCTTGCTCTGCTTGATTGCGACACCATCGACAATGCGCAGCCGTCAAGCAACTCGATACGCCGTATCCCGTCATCGATACGGACCCTCATTTCTCCCGTGTAGTGCGTTCCTTCCGTTCCTCGGACTACGTAGTCATGGCTGGAGCTACGGCTGCCTTCCCTTCCGCCATCTACCTGATGGAGATGTTCGATCCAACGCGACCCAAGCGTGGAATTGGAAGTGCTTTGCGTCTTTCGACGTTTTTGGGTCTGTGTGGTGGATTCCTGTTTGCATACCAACAAACATCGTTCCGATTCTGGGGCTGGAAGGAGAACGAATTGGAACAACAGGCTAACCAGGCAGCTATCGATGCAGGCATCAAGCCTCCTGGTACGGATCCGACCAAGAGCGATCTTTCGCCGCATCTGCAGGGCGTAGCTCATAGAAACAGCGCTTTTTCCCAGTTGAAGTTCAGTAAGTACGATCGCTTGGGCCCAGTGGGAAAGAGGGAGAATGGTTTTTACTGACAGAATGGCTGTGATCTTGTGTTGCGTTGTGATTGACAGGCACACTTCCTTGGTTCAACATGGTGAACCACCCATACCATGGCGGTGATGACAACTCGCAGGAGTCTCGGTAGGCGCTCGTTTGCAGACGCTGTAGGTCAGGGTGCGTTTGTAGCAGCCCTGCCATTACTGTTCCTCTCGGTTTGCGACTCAATGAAAAGATTCAACTAGATATACAGAAGGCTTGAAAGGTGCCAAGTCGTTGCTCAGCATGGTCTTCAGACTGGCTGGGATACGATCCGTGCTGGAGCGCGGTAAGAGAGTGTCAAAATGCCAATCTTGAGCTTCGGCAGCTGTCTTTCTCCGATATTACGCTTCGCTGCGACAGGCACAGGTGGTTAGAGCAAGGCACGGCTGAGAAGAGAACCCCCCCAAAAAAAAAAAATGCAATGGAGACCAGCCGAGCTTTCAACGGAAAGATGACTGAGGTAAAAGTACACTGTTACCAACCAGGCCGCCGCAACCTAGACCGGATGATATTGTTGCTTGCCTCTACAGCTGATTCTTATCCCTGGGCAGATCCTGCAAGGCGGCCTTCAACTCTGCATTCTCTGGATCAAATTGCAAACCCAACTCGAAAGCGTCCCTCGCTTCCTTGCACCTTTGCAACCCCACCAAAGCTTTCGCCTTTCTATAATGTCCTTTTGCCCACGGCTTCTTCAACTTGGTAACTGCCTCTGCATCGCACAATGCACCAATCCAATCTTGGCAGCTTGCAAATGCGGCGGATCTATTTGCCAAGCAGAGACTCAATTCGTCCCTTGCAACCTGGTTTGCTTCCCATAGGGGCCGGGAGGCAGCAACGTCGATTGCGAGCGTGTACATCTTGATTGCTTCCGCCCAATCTTTGTTTCGATATGCGGTGTTGCCTTGTTCTCTAGCTTGGTCTATGGCCATCGATCGCTGGGGAGCAATCGCGTTGGGCGGGGGTGGGAAGGCGACGTTCGGGGGGAGACCCTGGAGGGAGCGGATGAGGGCGTTGAGGACGGTGAGATCGAGCGAAGGGCTAGGGGTGGAGAGGGTTAGCGTGGTGGAATTGAGAAAGAGAGGGACTTGTTGGAATGTGGCATCCGTGATGGCCAGTTGTTCGGCTGTGGGCGGTGGTGGGCCTTGTTGCGGAGGCGGTGGTGCGTTCATGATAGGTTGTGGAGAAGCAAGAGGTGTCTGATGCCAAGACAGGTGTGGTATAAGTTGGTGGTTAGGAGGCAGAGTGTCGACCAATTCTCTGTAGTGGTAAATCAGCAGGATTGTGGTCTGTGCGCCGAGTTCCACATCATCGAAGAATTCGCGCTTACCGGCCGAGAGAGTCTCACCCCACGCACGGGCCTACTTTCTCGCTCCCATGTTTCCCTTTGTACTTTCCACCGGCCAGCCTACCTTATCTACCTTACCTACCTTACCTACCCTTCAGCAGCAAGCACGACATCAACAAACTACCGAGAAGCCCCCACAGACGGGAACCTGTCTCTTCATGATCCGCTTCATCCTAGTGCAAAACAGACAAGGCAAAACACGATTATCCAAGTTCTACGTGCCTTACGACGATGACGAAAAAATCCGTCTTCGTGGCGAAGTTCATCGTCTGATAGCTCCAAGAGATCAAAAGTATCAATCCAATTTCGTAGAGGTAAGCTCTTTCCCCGCCTTCGCCCCCTTTCCCCCTTTCCCCCTAGTCGCCCTCTCTCCTTTGCTAACTTGCTCGTCCGTTGTTTTCCGTGCTCGAACGTGATTGGCGCCTTCAGTTCCGCAACCACAAGCTGGTATATCGACGATACGCTGGCCTGTTCTTCTGCGTCTGTGTCGACGCAAACGACAACGAACTAGCTTATCTTGAAGCGATCCATTTGTTTGTCGAAGTTTTAGATGCCTTTTTCGGCAATGTGTGCGAACTAGACTTGGTGTTTAACTTTTACAAAGTTTATGCAATCCTCGACGAAGTCTTTCTCGCAGGGGAGATCGAGGAGACGAGCAAACATGTTGTACTTGCTAGGTTGGATATGTGTAAGTTCCCAAGCCCCCTTTTCCTCGCCTGTTGATGTCTGTACTGATTCGTATCCTTTCCTTCGGGGGGGTTTATAGTGGAGAAACTCGATTGAAGCCTGCTTTGCACCGTAGCTTTGCATGTTTGCAAAGCATTCTCCTCTTACAGCACAAAAGATGCCAGAGAGGGAGCATTGATTCAGAGTAGGCCGGTGTCTACAACTTGAAACAAGAAGCGCTGATTCCAGCTTCACGAATGCATCTAGCCACCTTAACCACCATATCCCGTTTCCTTTCAAGAACCGCTTGTTCTCCACCCTGGGTACCCAGCTCGTAGAGCGTGGCTAGGTTGAATACGACACTTTCCGCAACGGTCGAATTGGCGATTCTACTTGGATCCTTCTCCAACACCCTATCAAGCGTCGATATTGCCTTGTCCAACTTTGCCTCATAAAACGCTACTGTAGCCGAGTTGAGTTGTTGCACGATGGACAGGTCTTTCTCTTCGGAGGCGCAAGGAGGCGTTTCGGATGCGGAATCCAAGTCGCCACGTAGAGCGGCTAGGAGCGATTCTGAATGGCTTATTTCGCCTTGTAGAGGTGATGTGCGGAGGAGGAGGGAGGAGATGCGGTTTAGGAGGGTGTAAGCTGTGGAAAGGTCTCCTGCTTGGATGTAGATTCGGGTTGATACCAATACCAAATGTGCACTTTCTTCAGCATCTTGCCTTTCGCAGGCTGAAAGGCAATGCTGGATGAGAGGCGAGAGGATTTCGATTGCTCCATCCAAATCTTTCGCCTCAGCGAGGGTGAATGCTAGCATTAGACCTAACCTTAGCCCTCTTTCCTTCCAGATCTTAGCTCGATCTGCTTCTCCCTTGCTTTTCGCCTTTTTCATTGTCCCTTTACACGTCTGAATCAAAAGAATGTATTGTTCAACAGTACTCCTAACATCCCCTCTGAACTTGGGCTCGGTGGCACGGAAAACCCTCAAGGTGAATGGCACTCTCTCCTCCTCTCCCTCCATCAAAACCTCGCTGTCTAAGACATGCCACAATCCATCAAGTTCGCTCCTCAACAAGGAATACAATCTCAACCTCGCCAAAGCGTACATTCGTACACTCCACCATCCCAGTACCTCCTCCACACTCGCCGCTTGAGATTGAGTAATTTGAGTTCGTGCGAGGCAAGCTATCTTCCGCCATGAGTTTGTTGCCGCTGCTTGTTGCACGCTCTCCTCATTCACTTCTTCTCCCGCGGAGGAGGAGGAGAAGGAGGAGGAGTTCCAAGTGCCGGAGAGGTCTCGTACAGGACGTAGGTGTGGAGGGATATGTTTTTGGAGGAGAAGGGAGAGTGGGTCTGTGTTTGGTAGATCGCCTAGTAGTGCCGGGTTGGATAGGGCGGGGATGGGTCGGTGCGGGGGGGACGACGAGGATAGGTTGCGTGCAAATGCTGGCGTTACCGCAAAGGCGTCGAATGTAGGTTGCACGGAGGTGGTGGAGGTTGATGGGTCCGCAGTTGGGGTCGGGTATGGTTGTGTGCTGTCCATGTCGCTTGCTTGACCGATTGTGGGTCAGAAGAGGTGGTGATGGTGAGGAGCGAGGGTGACCCTGTTCAGTTGTGCCACGTCTGTGCGTTGCCTAAATCTTCGGACTTCGGGCAATCTTCTTGGCAGCTCGTGAATATACAAGAATCGCTATTGCATACAACAACTGTTGCATTAACCTTATCAAGGCTATCCGTAGAACTCCTCTATCTTCTCAGATGTAGCATTGCATAGCATTGCATAGCATTGCATAGCATTGCATAGCATTGCATAGCATTATCATGGGGTCCTGCCCCCAGACACGTTTGGCGTGTCTGATCTGAATCTCTGCGAAAATGCCCGTCTATACCGTCACTACGCAGACCGAAGCATCCACAAAGCAACACAGCCGCTGTCGCACCTCAGCGCAGCAAACCTATCTCTCCAGACTTTGTACAGTCAGTTTTGAGGCCAAAAAGAATGGGTTGCAAATTGCATACTTGGCATCAAAGGAAAAGCGTCTTCTCCCTCAACGCCCTCCATGCGAACAATAACCAATCTTGCCTCCTCAAACACAGTTCACTACTTGCCGCCTCTAACCTCGCAAAAACGCTCATACCCTTCCAAGCCATCACCTGTGGATCCATATCTCTCGGAGGTGGAATCACGGTCACCTTGGGTGCATTCCCTGCATCGCCTGTCGTCATTGCGAAATGGTTTGCCAGCATCGCAGTCAACCTCGCTTCCAGTGCCGCGGCCAATCCTGGAATTTGCGCTGTGCCACCAACGCAGAGGATATTGTTAGACATCTTGCGCAAACGTTCATCGCCAGCGGGACCAACTTGACCGATGGAGGTGAGGAGGGAGTTGAAGATGGCCATGTCAAGGGGAGTCTTGGAGGCTTCGAAAGGGATATCGATTGTTGGAGTGCGGGGGTAGGGGATGGCCCGTTCGTCTTCGTTGATCCTCGTGGGTTCTAGGGGCATGGGGGAGGGTCGAGCGCAAGGGTCGGCCGAGGGGAGGGTGTTGGTGTCTAAGGTAGCACTGTTTTCGGGCTTGGTGGAGGGAGAGGCTGCTCGGGAAGGCATGGTGCTGTCGACTTTGGCAGGAGCGGTGGGAGCAGGTGTACCAATTTCGCATCCAGCCGCTGCTGCTGCTGCTGTTGCTGCTGCAGTAGGTTGGGTGGCAGGTACAGGCGGAGGTGGCAATAGATGCTTGACACAGCTCGTCATCGCTCCCGTAACGGGGATGTCCAAGCCACGTAAAAGGCTCAACTCGGGCGCATCTTCTCCCAGTCCTTCATCCCCTCCACCTTCCTTCTCCTCTGCCTGCCCAGCCCTGGATTTACCCCTCAACATCTTCTTACTGTCCAAATCGAATACTGCAGGATCGAACAAACTCATCGGTCCCACGATCAGTTCGTCGTACGTCCTGAAGAGATACTTGATCGTCGGTCTTGATGGCAACCTCAGGTAGAAATCGTGAATGTTGAGCCCCACATCCGCCGGGTTGAGCGTGATGAGTTTGCGTTTAAGCTCATCGATCATCATCGTATCGGCGATACTCTTTCGATGGTCGAGCTCTCGGTAAGGGAACTTGGCACGAATGAAAAGCTCGGCAAGGAAGTGTGTCAGATCTGCTCCACCGTACGACAGCAAGATGCGCGTTTCTGGCAGGATAAGACCTTCTTCAACACACGAGATCGAAATCTTGTCCGCTCCTAAATCGACGACGCAACCTGAGGAAAGACCTGCACCAAAAGTAGCACAGACGCTTTCTTGCTGTACGCAGGCCTGAGCGAATCCCATATCGACGAGCAGAAGTTCGGTAAGCGCCTTGACGTCCGATCGGCAGAAAAGGTCAGGGATGATGAGGATGACGGTGTAATCGTGGAAATCTTGGCGAGGGATGCCGAGACCGAGGGGTGCAACTTTGCCGCTTTCTTGCCTCTCGTCGGTGTCTTCGGGTGGGGAGGTGATGGCGTGTTCGAGGATGCTACGTACGTCTCCGAGGAGGGCTTGGACAGCAGCAGAGGCGCCGTAATGCTCTTGGTAGCTGTTGAGATCCAGAGTGCCTCGTTGGAAGGGTCGGAAGAGTGTCCAGGGTCGAGATGAATCGGGGGGTGAAAGTGTTTTGACGGAGGAGAGCTGCTGTTGACGTCTGCCTTGTTGTTTGGGTTCGGCAGTGTTGGGTTGGGAGAAGCAGGCGAGACGAAGAGCTTGCTCGCCGACGAGAAGGTCGTTGTCGCCGCCGGCGTCTTGGTCGATCCATTCGAGTGCGAAAAGGTCGTTGTGCTCGGGAACGTCTTCCGGTTGCGAACTGTCGTTGTAGTTGGCTGCAAGATTCTTTGCGTTGCCGACGGATCGAAGCTTCTCTTGACGCATGATGGCACGCAAGTCGTTGCGGATAGCTTCAATGCCTTGGCTGAGTGTAGGTTTCGACTTGGCGACATGCACCTCTTCCTCCTCCTGAGCTTGAGCATCATCGCCGGCCGCCTTGGTTGCGCTTAACGAGGCTGCAGTTGCGGCAGACCTTCTCGGGTTCTTGCGTGAAGCCTTGGCAGGATCTTGGGCTTGCTCATTCTCCTCGGCGTCAGCTTTGTCTGCCATGTCAAGGTCGATTTGCTCGCCATCCGCGCCTTTTGGTGTTTCGCCATGGCCGGCAGTGCCGTTGGCTGCTTTCGCTTCGTCCGTCGACTTTGGCGGTGCAGCCTTCTTTGCTCGTCGAGCAATCACGTTGGGCAGCGAGATAGGAAAGAGATCCGTAGCTCTACCTAGTCGAAGGTTCTCGGAGCCTGGATGAATGACGATGGTGCGATGTGCCGGGGTGTTTTCTGCTGCCTCCCTCTCACCCTCTTCTGGTTGGAGATGGTCATCTTGATCCATGTTGACGCTGGCATCAGCAGCATCTGCAACAGCGTCGAGTCTGCTCTTCTTGCTCTGCGGTAAAGCTTGTGCGGCGGCTTGAGAACGAGAGATCCACGTTTGCGCCTCTGTCTTGAGATAGGAGGAGGAGACGTTCTTGGCGTTGAGTGGCGCGACTGAGAAGAAGGTGGTATACTGCAGTGCAATGTTCTGCGATGGATGCGCTGGAGGGTTGGGTGGCAGGGAGACCTTCTTGGGGGGCATGGTGACGACGGCGGCTGAGCCAAGCAAGATGCTGGATCGAAGTCGAAAGGGAGTGTACTATCGGAGTGTGTGATGAGGGTGATGAGGGCGATGGATGAGTAGCTACGACTCGTCAGCTGCTACCTCGGATGGACCGCGAATGGTGTCGACCGTGTGCTGTCGTGGAGATGGTGTGAGAGGTTGGCGTGAATAAGGTTGGTCGTCGGTGTTGCGGTCGAGTGACAGAGCCTAAAAAAAATAAAAATAAAAAAAATAAAAATAAAAAAAAAGGTTGCAACTGCTCGTCAGTCGCTTTGCTGCATGGATGCACAGTCGGAAATGCCGAAAGGGCTGACTGTGAGTTGTGCGAAACGCTGCGGCTGCGGCGTGACGCCCAGTCTGCCAACTCGAGAGGCGGTCAGTGAGTCAGTCAGCCTACAGAGAGGAGGGGGAAAAGAGGAGGGGGAAAAGAGGAGAAAGAGGGGGAAGCCGAGAGACACGGAGTTGAAGATGCGTCGGCATCCTAAACTGAACCACGTGGTTCATGGAGCACAAGCGAGACACCAGTGAGTCAGAGCTGCATGTCAACATGCATCAATATGCATGTGGGACATATAAGTACTTCAACAATAACACTCAGGAGATGGCAATGCTCAGGAGGTGACAACACAGGGGTGATATGAAGAATAGTTCATTATGATCTAGTATGGGCTGAAGATAGCAATCAAGTATATATATGTTCACATTGTAGCACCTATCAATTAATAAACATATACAACCATTATACACCTGAAAAGTTGAGCTTGCTAGTAGCTCCTAAACAGTCGCATTTTACCTGTAAATCTTCAACTGATTAAGAGTCTGAAGCTCTACCGACTGAGCTAGCCAGGACCATCGATAACATGGTACAAGAAACCAAAGCTCAAGCTGTAGCAAGCAAGGTCAAAGGAGGAAGAGAGGGCAAGGCAACACAACTGCATGTTGCTGATAACGAGGCCACCAATGAGTCAGACACCGAGGCGATCAATGACAATGCCGATGAAGAAACTGACTCTGACTCGAACCATGACGACAATGATGGCAAGCAATACAACTTTCGTACCCTAGCGAAGCTACTTGAGCCAGTTCCAAAACTCACATCACACAACTACTATAGTTGGAGTGCCCATATCAAGTCTTTCCTATGATGTGTCCCCCATGCTATGAAGCATCTTGATGGAGCATATGACAAGAAACATCCCAAGTGGAACCACATGTTCGATGATGCCTTAACGAATGCACTACGCAGTACCATCAATACCACTGGAGAGTTTAACATAAATTACTTGATTCTTGACATCATCAGGGAACATCATACATTCCATAATGTATGGAAGAAGATTGAAAATGGACTCACCAATGAGGCCACCACCATATCTCATCATATTGCATTGATCGCTCAGCTAGGAGAACTCAGGATGTACAACTCAGATGTACAAAAGCTCATCCAAGAAATAAGAACCATCCAAACGGAGAGCAGCTTACTGGGAAAGCCATTTGCTGATGACACCCTGTTTTCAAATCTACAAAAGTGCACCATCCGACACCCAATGTACAAAGAAACTGTTGCTACTGTAAGCCAGCTTAGTTTCAGTGCCCTCGCCACCACCCTATCCATCCGGCAATCAGCAATCAAGAACAACCCTGCTTCAAGGGTTGATCCCTGCCAAGCTAGTGCCAGAGTCACCAGCAGTGACAACCAGAATGAGACACCTGGAGATGATGAGAAGGATGAAAAGGATGCCAACAGCACCAGCACCAAGGTCACCGCCAGACCCTGAAGGCTTCAATGTTGGGTCTGCAAAAGACCTGGACATGGGATCAGTCAATGCGATGCATCAGTGACTATACCAGAAAATTCTCCCCTTGCCAGGCTCAAATAGGAGATCTGGTGCTCCCTCACACATAGTTGGCCAAGCACTTTAGATTCAAAAGAGACTTCTCATTGGATCTTAGACTCAGGTGCCAGCTATCACATGGTAAATGACTATAGCATGCTCATTGGTCCAAGGACCTGCCGAAAGCGCATACTCACTGCTGGAAGCAAGGTTCTGGAAGCAACTGCTATAGGAGATGCTAGCATATCAACAAACACCAGAGATGTTCCTCTCCAAAATGTATTGTATGTTCAGCATCTCAATGTTAACCTATTGTCAACAAATTCTCTGACAGATGAAGGAGCACAAGTGATACTAGATTCAACCAGAGGGCAAATATACCTAGCAAATGGCATGTTACTCAAGATGACCAAGAATCGCGAGCAAGGACTTTTGGAGTTCCAAGGTGACACATGGCAGGAAAATGCAATGATCACATCAGCATCATTATTTGAAGGTGTTGATGAAGATTTCGAGCGTATTGAGAACAAAGTCAAGATATCCAAACAACAATTATGGCATGAGCATCTAGGCCATCTGGGCTGAGACAAAACAAGAGCCATCATCAACCATCTAAAAGGTGACCACCCAGCAAACCTAAGTCCAAATGCCACTTTGACATGTGAGCATTGCATCCGAGCTAAAAGCACAGCAGCTCGAATGGGTCAGGGTGGCAGAGAAAGGTCCGTCTCTCCGCTTGACCTCATTCATATCAACTTGATGGTCGATTCATCGCATGCAACAGAGTACACGTGCACTTTGGTCTTGATTGATGACCACAGCAAGTACATGTACGTACGACCTCTATTACAAAAGAGCCACGCTTTTAAGGAGCTAAAATCAATAATTGCATACCTAGAGACACAGGCAGGAAAGAGTTTAAAAGCAATATGGTCTGATCAAGGTACTGAATGGAGGAGCAATGATGCCCATGAATGGGCACATGATAAAGGCATAGAGTGGCAAATGACAGTAGGATATGATAGCAGACAGAACAGATGTGTAGAAAGGACGAACAGGAGCATAAGTGAGAAGATGCAGGCCCTACTCATGCAGAGATGATTGCTGAAGAGGTTCTGGCTGTATGCAATATGGGCTGCAGCATTCAAGATGAATCTCACCCTGAGTATAGATGGTGAGGTCCCATATCAGGCTATGTTTGGGAGATTGCTGGAACAGCTTATGAAGCTTCTACATGTGTTCAGATGTTTATCATGGGTAAATATTCCTAAAGCTAAAAGAGACAATAAGAAGCTCGACCAATGGGCCATAGCATCCATATTCCTAGGATATAGTTTGGAGAGAAGAGGCTGGCTCTTCTACAGCCCAGATTATAGACCAAATATTTTCTGGAGCAATTCAGCAAAGTTCATGGAGACCAAATGCTGGTCTGATAGGATGGAGTGGCGACCAGTGATTACACAGCCACCACCAGCATTAACAAACGAGGAAGACTTTGGCGATCTGAGGTACACAGATGAGAACCTTTTTGACGAGAGGGAAGAGGAAGCATTGCAGGAATACATGGACATGGATAATGTCGATGAAACAGATGGAGGACAGACCTCAGACGAAGTTGCCAAGGAAGTGATCGAACACAATACCATTGCCAATAGATGGAATGATAATAAACTTTATGGATTTATGGCAACCAATGACAATGAAAGAAAGAACCTGGACCCAACCATTAGCGAGGCACTATCCGGAGAGGACAAGAAACATTGGGAAGAAGCGATGCATAAGGAGCTGGACGGGCTTAAGGCCATGGGCATGTGGGAAGTCGCTGATCTCCCAAAGGGTATGAACACCATCGACACACGTTGGGTACTAAAGATAAAGACGGATGCCAACCTAATCCCAACCAAGTTCAAAGCAAGGTTAGTGGCACGGGGCTTCACTCAAAGAGAGGGTATTGATTACACAGAAGTTTTCGCCCCTGTAGCACCTGTCATGGGCCTGGATGCTCAAGAAGCAGGAGGGTCACAGGTTCAACAGGTATTGAAGATCTAGTCGAGATCAGTAGAGAGCATGGTTGTAGTGCAGTCTCCATGGAGACCATGGACTCCTACGGACTCACATGCAAAGGAGGGCCAAGCACAGCCACGAAGAGGACCAAGCTCAAGGAGCATGCAGATGGTTACCACTCAGGGGCTCGAGAGACAAGAGCCAAAGGAACTGTCACTGATCAAAGGAGAAGGAGCAGTGTCGAAGGAGTCGACACCAGGTCATGAGGAGGAGGAGCAGTGTCAAAGGAGTCGACACCAGGTCATGAGGAGGAGGAGCAGTGTCGAAGGAGTCGACACCACTCAAGAGGCACAGGGGTGCCAAGCAGGAGAGGCCCCTGAGCAGTACTCGATGAAGAGGGTACTCTCTGGAGAGAGAGCAGGAGCAGCATCGCTGGTGATGCTGTGAAGAGGTATATAACCATGCTTTCTCATCATCATAGGTCGAGTGGATCCTCATCCACTCTACTCACCATATAACTAGTTATCACTTCAGCATAAGTATACATTAGTTTCAGTCAGCATAGCAGCAATCTATCAAGGTTGCTCCTCATCGTAGTGTGTGTGTTGTATCACCACTACCTGACATCCGAAGGCGCCCATAGCAGGTTAGCGGTCCGGATCAAGATAGAACCGAAGGCAGTAGTCCACTGCGGTCTGGGGATCACTTCAAGCATCAAGTCAACACACTGGACACTCGTGTTGATGCCACCAATCTTATCACCAACACCATCAACCTCATCATCATCAACACTCACACCAGACCTTGGTGTCATCATAACATTGATATTGATCATGCCGAGCTACCCCTGAACGGAGTGTCCACAGAGGTCAGCCGAAACCTACGATAGTATATACAACGAACGCCACCTGCTGTCACTGCACAACTTGATAGTCACCAATACCGAGACAACAGCTGTCGCACAGTTTGATAGTCACCAAGTATCTCGACAGACCGACCTGGGTTTCAGGCGCGAGACCCCTGACAGCACCCATCCAGTCAATTCGAGGAGTTCTAGCCATGGCAACTGTATGAGACTGGGAAGTAGATTGTATCGATGTTAAACAGGCATACCTGAACTTGATGTTACATCATAGTATCTTCTTAAAGCCACTGCTTGGAATGAAGGTACCCCCTGGAAAGGCCCTAAAGCTAATGAAAGGCCTATATGGATTAAAGCAATTGGGTAGAGAATGGAATATGGAGCTAGACTCACACCTACAAAAGATAGGTTTCTATTGCATGCCGAGCGCTCCATGCCTATACTCAAGAGGAACAGGCGATAGCATGACAATCATCACAGCCTATGTAGATGACATGCTTATAACATCACCCAGTTGCACAGAGGTAAGCCACACTAAGGATGAGATAATGGCAAAATGGGGAACGGAAGATAAAGGACCTGTGAAGGAGTTCTTAGGCATAAGGATAGATTGAGACAGAATACGGAGAAGGATGACACTCGATCTAATGGCTTACATTAAGGCTATGGTGAGAAAGTGGCTACAAACAACTGATCTGAAGTCATGGGTACTGATGCAGAGCCTGACAGGTATTACAGGTGGTGACAAGTGCAACTCATTGGCAGCAAAACAGTACCAAGAATTAGTTGGACAGCTTTTATGGGTATCTAACACAGCACGGCCCAACATATCATTCACCGTAGGAACACTAGCAAGATACATGTTGAGCCCAACGAGCAATGCATGGAAGGCAGCATTACATTTGGTGAAATACCTCAATCAAACCAGCAAATATAAGTTACTCTTTGGAGATGAAGCAAACAAACACTCAGGACAGCAAATTGTTATGTATACTGATGCAAATTGGGCATTGGACCCAATGAATGGATGAAGAAGCACATCAGGGGGAGTAACATACATGTATGGGTGCCCAGTTAGCTGGAGATCACATGTTCAAAAGTGCATGGCATTGTCAGCAGTCAAGGCTGAATTTGTAGCTGCTTCAGAGGCAATGAGAGAGGCTCTTTTCTTCTCATACCTTCTCAGGGACCTGGGAGTTGAGGCCCATCCACTGACATTGTGGACAGACAGTCAAGGATGTATCCAGGTAAGCAAAGACCCCACCAAGCACTGGAAGTTGAAGCACATCGACACAAGGTACCACTTCGTCAGAGACCATGTTCAGGAAGGAGAAGTCAAAATCGATTTTGTCAGGACAACAGACAATGTTGCAGACATCCTCACGAAGCTGCTAAAGGGCTTGGCCACATCTCAGATCGCATGCCAAATAGGATTGATGATGCTGTCGAGGGGGGGAGTTGAAGATGCATCAGCATCCTAAACTGAACCATGTGGTTCATGGAGCACAAGCGAGACACCGGTGAGTCAGAGCTGCATGTCAACATGCATCAATATGCATGTGGGACATATAAGTACTTCAACAATAACACTCAGAAGATGGCAATGCTCAGGAGGTAACAACACAGGGGTGATATGAAGAATAGTTCATTATGATCTAGTATGGGCTGAAGATAGCAATCAAGTATATATATGTTCACATTGTAGCACCTATCATTTAATAAACATATACAACTGTTATACGCCTGAAAAGTTGAGCTTGCTAGTAGCTCCTAAACAGTCGCGTTTTACCTGTAAATCTTCAACTCACGGACCCTGGATTTTCTATCTGGCACCGTTGATATTCTGGTGCTGGTGCTTGCTGCTTGCTGTTCAACATAGACAAGCATCAGCGTCATCCTTTCGTGTAGCTGCAATCATCGGCTGCTCCGGCTGCTCGGGTCCGCTTCTGTTCCCAGCGCACGCAACGCTGCACTCTCCACTCTCTGGCAGTAGAGCCGACAGCATCCCTGCAACGCCCCTTTGCACGGCGGTGCCGACAATGCCATATACATCGATACAATAGAAGCACATACAAATCCACACGTCACCCGCTTTTCCCACGCTCCGGCAAAGCCTCGGGAAAGCCGAATATAGATAGCAGCCCTCTCCACCGTAGGCAAGCAAGGATCGGCAAGCATGTCGCACTTCGTCTCCAGCCACACCTCGCAAGACTTTGCTTCGCTGCAAACTCAGCTGTTGCGCAGAGAGCCAGTGCAAGGTGGCAGCCCGGCCGAAGAAGAGCCACTCTACTCGGACCATGCCGACAAGCAGGGTGGGTTGGGAGCATCGGCCAGTTCACTCGCCTGTCGTCGTCGGCGCAACAGCAACAACGACAACCTCGGCCCTTCCGACGACAATCGTAGTCAGCGTGTGCCATCGCTCTATTCACGTCGCAATAGTCCCCAACTGCCCGAGCCAGGCCCTTCTCGTGCGGCAAGTCTCGCGCGCAATGTCGACGGCGGTGGCCAGATTGAAGCTATCGACTACTTCTCCAACCCTACTTCCCCTCCATCCCGACCACCATCTACGGCCTATCGTGTTCATCTCGATAGTGGCAATCCATTTTCTGCCAACAACACCTCTTCCCCTATCTCGTTCGCCGACCATGCCGATACACGCACAGCTTCAATCTACTCAGATCAGCCGTATGCTGTCTCTTCCGCCATCCTGGCCCAGAGCACATCCACAATACCCTCCAGACGTCTCCCCAAAGGTGTCTCCTTTTCCGATCCACGTACCGGCCCAGGCGAAGACGGTCATCGTACCCAGAGCGCCAAACACTATCGTAAACCTGCACGCTCCAATAGCGCCTTTCAGGATGCAACTCTCTCACATCAGCATAACGCTCATATGCCGCGCACCAAGACGCTGGGCATGATCAGTCCTGCCGAAATGGCTCCTCGTAAGCTTGGCACTTGGGATGGTGTCTTCATGCCAGTCAGTCTCAACATCCTCGGTATCATCTTGTTTCTGCGTTTCGGCTTCATCCTTGGCCAGGCAGGTCTGCTCGGCTCTCTCTTTCTGCTGATGCTCAGTTATGCCATCGATACGCTCACCGCTATGAGTCTCAACGCGATTAGTACCAACGGTCAAGTCAGAGGTGGAGGTGCATATTATCTCATCTCTCGCTCTCTCGGTCCAGAATTCGGCGGATCTATTGGGCTGATCTTCTTTGCTGGACAAGCGCTGAATGCTGCTATGAACCTTTTAGGTTTCGTCGAGACTCTGACCGATGCGTTCGGTCAAAGTAGAGGTCCATCCGGTTTCTTGCCCCAAGGACCGTGGTACTCGTTCTTCTACGGCTCCATCGTGCTGCTACTCAGTGCCATCGTTTGCCTTGTCGGCTCCAAGCTCTTTGCACGTGCTACATTGGCATTGGCACTAGTGTTGTGCGTGTCCATCATCAGCATCCCCATCTCTTCATTCACTGTGCAACCCTTCATCGATGATGACCGAGGTGCATACTACACTGGATGGTCCTCGGATACACTCCGAGGCAATCTCTTTCCGCGCTTCACCTCGGGTGCTGCAGGCTCGTCAACAGGCACCGAAGCAGAAAACTGGCAGAGCGTCTTTGGTGTACTCTTCCCCGCCGTCACTGGTATCCTCGCAGGAGCGTCCATGTCAGGCGATCTGCGAAAGCCAAGCAAAAGCATTCCCAAGGGTACAAACTACTCGCTTCTCTTCACTTTTTTGGTCTACCTCTTCAGCTTTGTTATCTTTGCTGGCACCATCGAGCGCGAGTCCTTCTATGTCGATGTCGGTATTGTTTCCGATGTCGCACTTAGTCCGCAGCTCATCACTTTTGGTGCACTTGCTTCGACCGCTTTCTCGGCATTGATGGGCGTCATGGCGTGTGGCAAAGTCCTCCAAGCCATTGCACGAGACAACTTGCTTCCCATCCTCGACCTCTTTGCTCAAGGCACCCAAGTTAGCGATACTCCTATCCACGCCGTTCTCGCCACCTACATTTTTTGCCAGACTATCCTATTCGTCGATTCAGTCAACACCATTGCACAGCTCGTCACCATGACTACACTTCTCACTTTCGGTACGCTCAGCTTCGCTACGTGTGCACTCAAAGCAGGAGGAGCGCCGAGCTTTCGACCCTCCTTCAAGTACTGGAATATCTGGACAGCTGCTGGTGGTGCAGTCAGTTGTTTCAGTGCTATGTTCTTCACCGACCCTACTGCGGCTGCAGCTTGTATCATCTTTGCCGTCATGCTATTTGTCATGATTCATTTTTTTTCCCCACCTAAGCCGTGGGGAGATGTGACACGTAACATCACCTACCACTTTGTCCGCAAGTATCTACTCCGACTCGACGAACGTAAGGGACACGTCAAGTACTGGCGACCGCAGATTCTACTGCTGGCGAACAATCCTCGAAGCGAGTGGAACCTTATCATTTTTTGCAACTCGCTCAAGAAAGGTGCGCTCTACGTACTCGGTCATGTCCTCAAGGGAGAGTTCACAGAGTGTTTGGCCGAGTTGAGGAAACAGCAAGTAGCTTGGCTTAAGCTTGTGGATCTCACGGGGATAAAGTCGTTTGTCGACGTGGTCATTGCCAAGGATGAAAGGGAGGGTGCTCGCAACTTGATTCTTTCCTGTGGGTTGGGGGGGATGAGGCCGAATATTGTCGTGATGGGTTATCCGAGCGATATGAGACATCCTGCCAAGGTCGCACCTAGCAGTTACGCTGGTAGTGGACATAGGAGCGATGGTAGCGAGATTACAATCAGAGGTCTGGGATGGCCTCAGCGTCATCATCGTGCTGTTGACATTGGCAGTTTACCAACTGACGTTGCGAGGAAAGAGACACCGATCAAACCAACTACGTATGTGGGGATCATGGAAGATTCGCTCGCACTCAATAAGGCTCTTGCCATTGCGTACGGGTTTGATCTTATGCAGCCTCCCGGACCCGTCGCTTCCAATACGGCGCAAAATGGAAACCTAGCACCTGAACGATACATCGATCTCTGGCCGATTCAAATCGCAAGCCCAGATGCAGACGAAAGCCATGCTTGGGACACTTACACTATGGTCCTCCATCTCGGCACCATTCTTAGCTTCACCAGTAGCTGGAAGTCTCACAAGCTTCGTGTTTCTGTCTTTGTGGAGCATGCGAGTGAGATGCAACAGGAACGCAACAGGATTCGAGCGCTGTTGGATAACTTGCGCATCCCGGCATCGCTCCGTGTGTTTTGCTTGGCAGATCAGAGTGTTACTACGTACCAAACCATTGTTCACGGTAGCAACATTGCAGCGGTCGAGGTTGATGAGGCGTTGCGTGGCGATCCTTGGTGGGAGACTCTGAAAGAGCTTCGGAGGAATGACGAGCGACGTGCGAGGCAAGCAGCGAAACGCAAATCTCAAGCCTTATCACCTGCTAAAGCTATCCCGTCCGGCGGTGGTGGAGGAGGAGGAGGAGGAGCAGCAGCAGCAGCAGGAGGTCAAGCGGGGGATGCACCTCGCAAACAATCCAAACGAGAACAAAAGCTATTCGGCGTAAGTTTGCCCGCCGAGCACTTGGCGTTTCACAAGCAGAACATTCGCTTGGGTCTTGCGCATCCCAGAGCACGTAGGGACGATGGGGAGGATGGAAATGGGTCTTCTGACTCGGATTCCGAGTTTGAGGATGAACTGGCGATGTTGAGTGAGGACGATGATTGGTTGGTCGATGGGCCCAACCGGAGAGGCTTGGCGATTAGGAGAGCTTCGACGTTGGAGCCGAGTAGTTATTTGGGTAAGACAAAGACTTATCGTTCGAGAGCGTACTCGATTGGTGGGTCGGCTGGGTTGCCTGATGATCCGGTCACTGCTGCTAGTAGACCGCTGTTGGGTGCTTCTCCGCAGACGGGTTCGGGATCGGTCGCGACGAGTTACGGCACGCTGAGTTCGAGTCAGAGGACTGCCACGCCGGCGAATGTGAGGGCGGCGAGTAAGGGGAGTTTGTTGGGTACATCGTATGCTTCGACGGATTCGAGCATGACTCCTCGTGCTTCGGTGCCGTATAGCGAAGAAAAGCCTTCTCCGCTAAGACAGGGTCTTGTCTCGGCATCCAAGGGGGATGAGGGGGATGGGGAGGAGGAAGAGAATGCAGCAACGCTCAAAGCTTCGGAACGACAAAAGCTGCAAGCTGAACTCAAACGCGACTCGGAAATCACCAGGAACACCACCCCGACCAGATCCAAAGCTGCTGCTGTTGGCCTCGGCATGGCTGCTTCCCGCTCAACCGATGCTGTTACACCTCGTCCAAAGACAAAGTTGGATAAACGACAGTGGTCGTATGCAAGCAGCTCCTCAAGCGCATCCTCAGACAGAGGCTCTTCGGGCGGGGAAGAGGATTCAAAAGGTCGCCTCACCAAATGCACCAAAGGTTCCACAGGCAAACCTTGGCGTCATGCTCGATCGCGATCCGAAGAAACGTCTACCTCCTCAACAACGGCTGGTGCTTCACCAGTTGCAATGCGTCGCATGCGACCCGCGCCTTGCACTAGCAGAGTCGGTAGCAAAAGCTACTCTACAAATCTACCCGTGATCTCGTTCAATGAGCTACCCAATAAAGCTCAGTACCTCATCTTGAACGAGTTGATCAGGCTGAACAGCAATAGGACAAGTACAGGGGTGGTATTGACGGCCTTGCCGGCTCCGGAGGTGGGGACGAGTGAAGACGAGTTGAAGAGTCTAAGATATTTGGAACAATTAGAGAGTCTGTTTGCTGGTGGACCACCGATTCTGGGGGTGCATGCGAAGACGCTGACTATGACTATGAGTTTGTAATACACATGCTCAGGAAGAGGGGGATGGAATGGACAGATGCTAGATACGAAAGCTTTCTGGTGTGATTCGTGGTTATTAGTGAGGGTCAGGTTCATTTGTGGCACCACATCTCAGGTTGTGTGGGTTTTGCGGTTCAACCCCTTGTCGGCGTGGGAGGAGGCGAGGTTCGTGAGTGTTTTGTCACCCCACCAGATGAAGTTTCGTTGTGGCGAAGCAAGTTTGTATGGTGCAAATTGGTTGCGGAGCGAGAGGTCCGTGGGGCCTCTGATTGGAGGAGGCTTGATCAAGCTCTTTCCACCTCGTTGGCCCCTCTGGTTTCCTTTGTACGCTGACTCTTGATTGCTTCTTTGTGACCATCATCATTGCCTTGTCTCTTGCACGTTTCCATCCTCTTGACCGTCTCTCTCTCGGACTGCTGATCAGGATGAGTCGAATCGCACCAACGCTTCTCCTCCTCCTTCTCGCCGTTTTCCTTCTGCTTCTCTCGTCGCCGATTATCTCAGCACATGCCAGTGGCGATCACGCTCTACAACAGCCATCAAAGCGCTCCGAAAACGGGCCTGCAATCGAGTTCGCCACAACCCCTCAAGAAGCTGCGAATGAAGGGCCAGCTCTTATCGAGCCTCAATACAACCAGTTCGCCCCTCCTCCCACGCACAGGGGCAATCACCATGATCGCCATCATCACGGCGGAAAGGGATTGAGTAAAAACAAACTTGAGCATTGGATGCACAAACTGGGTCTACACCCTACCAGACATCAGATCGATCAACTTTATTCCAAGGTCAACAAACACGATCAACAGCATCACCGCGGGCAAGGTGGGCGCGGTAAGCAAACATCTGGGAAGGGTAGGGGGGATAAAGAGAAGCCTCCGGTATGGAAAGAGTTGAACGATCAAGGTCAAGAGGTTGCACAAGCTCGACCTGTTTCAGCGGGTAAGATGGGAATTCTTCCTCCTGGAACGCCGAGGAAGTGGGATAGTGAGGAGCCATCGGATACGAATAAGTCGTCTTCTCCCGTTGCTGCTGCTGTTGCACCACTTCCAGAGCCAGCTCCGAACACTATTGCTTCTCCAACTCGAGCGAAGAATGATTCGCATCCACCAGCTCCAGGGCAAGTGCTTCCTGCAAAGAACAATGGTTTGGATGCTCCGGTGACCAATATCCCTTCCAACACGGCCGCAAGTAGCAACATGGGGCCAATGAAGAGTGGTACGAGCGGCTCAATTAACCCCAGTGCAACAGCTTCATCCACCACCCCAGGAGGAGCAGAAGGAGCAGGAGGAGCAGGAGGAAAACCAAAAACCGTAGCCGGAATACCAGTCGTAGCTGACAACGACGGAGATATGAAAGCACCGCAACCGCAACTTACCAACTCTACTAGTGCTGGTGGCAGGCGTAAACAATCTGGAGCCACGGGTAAAACTGAAGCGCCATATGGCGGATGGACTGTTGGAGGTAGTCTTTTAGTTGCCAGTTTGTTGGTTGTGGTTTTGTTTGCTATCTAGACTCGACCTCTGCTCCTGTCTATTCTCTGTGTCATGGATGAGCAGGATAGGTAATGTTGTACGTCTTCTGTGCTTGCTGGTATGCTGTCTGAAGACGTGTGAGGATGAGCGTGTGAGGATGAGCGTGTGTCAGGTGTGAGCTGCCAAACACTGCGCTCGGAGCATTTTCGATTGGACAAGGCTCGATTTCGGAGCGTTTTGGTACGCCCTGTGTGCAGAGACGCACAGACCATGATACCCTCACATCCTGCTTGACTTGTTACCACCAACCCGCACGACGACCTGCATGTCTCTTACAACATCAACCGGGATACAGTGCCGTCTGCGATCGGAAGGAGGCGCAGACACATCAGCACCAAAGTATAGTGGCTGCGTAGAAGGTCCAAGCCCACGCAACGGCAAACGCCAACATAAGGGTCCGTGCGGTTAGGGCTTCATTTGGCCCCTTTCCTCTTGCACCACACGGAAAGCGGAAAGGAGAGCAGCACTTGCTACGTACAACGATCTGCTTCAACGTCGCTATTCAGAGTTGACTTTGGAAGCATCAGTGCTATCGTAGCAGGGCCGTTTGGCGGGATAAGGCTTGGATCCGGATTCAGCACCAATATCCAGAAGCCTCGTTTGTTACACAAGATCATCGTAGGGCGCTAAACAGCAAAACTGGACGATCAGTCGCAAGCCTCTATGGCTCAGATGGCAAGGAAAACAACCAAACCTCAAAAGTATACCAGCAAAGACAGCCAATATGGACATGTCCTCCCAACCGTCAGCTTCAACGCCGATCGGTGCGAACGACGATATGGATAACTGGAAACCATACCTTCATACCATCCTTTTCTCCCCGAGCTCCTTCTCCAATTCGCCCGAGATGGGAGAGCCATTCCTTTTCCCTTGGTTTCGGATCTATTCTCGTTCGACGTTTCTTCTTGCTTGTCTGTTGGCGTTTGGTTTGGCTGTTTTGGAGCGATATCTTTCCTTTCTTCTCGATTCCTGCCTCTCGCTCCGCCCATCCTCCTCTTGTACTTTGGCAAGGCGTAAGGATTCGAATGCTACCGCTGGTGAAGCAAGTGTTTATGTAACCATCCCGAGCAATGCCGCAGTCAGTTCAGGCAGGCGGAGAGAGCCAAGAAAAGCCAAGCTGGTGGCTAGAACAGTGGTGTATTTTGTAGCAACATTACTCAGGTATCTATTGATGATTATAGGGATGGGTATGGATTGGTTTCTGCTGCTATCCTTGGTGTTGGGCTTAAGTGTTGGTCATTTGGCTACTGATCTTTACAAGCTTTCGACAATTTCGAATGGTATTCGAGTCGAGAGGGGGCTGGAGGAGGTTGAGTTACTACCGCATCCAGAAACCGAGCAAGAGGGAAAGGCGGAAGGCGAGGAGAGGGGGGAAGGAAGGGACTGCTTGCATCGTCGTAGCACTTCCACACATCGACATGGTGTTACGCCTTACTGAGGATCACTCTCTAATCGCAGTCATGACCAGCAGCTTTGTGAATGGATAGCGTGTGTTTGTATGTATGGGGGGAGCTTGGTTAGGTTCGATCTGGCGAGCGAGAGGGAGATCGAGAGACATATCCCCGCTCCTCCTCTCCTTCCTCCAGAGCGATGGAAGGCGAGAGTTGCCGATCAGGAGAAACACTGAAACTAGGCGAAATAAATCTTCTCCTTTTCCTCTCCGCCATCTCCTGATCGCTTTCTTCTTGCCAAGTATACTCCTCCAACCCAAAATCCTGCCTTGATGGCGGAGAAGGCGAGGTTTTGATCTGAGTCCTTCTCGTCGCTTGTTCAAGCTTTTGCAGTTTCCACCGTTTCAGGTCGGATAGACTATCATCGCTCTCTTGCTCCTCCTCCTCTGCTACACGATTACCTTGGAGAGTTGTGATCAAGCAAGTTTCGAGTTTGCTTATCCTCGGCGCCAAGCCATCTCTAACTTGACACACCTCCCTCTTACTCAATCTCGGCAAAATGATATCACAAACCCTCTCCTCCCTCAGTAACATATCCACCCATTCATCCATATGCAAGACCTCATAGCCACCATCCGCGCTTCTCCACCTCAACTTTCTCCCATCTTGCAACATCGGCTCTAACAGCTGATACACCTCTGTGGATTTACACGTTAGTCGGATGTAGAACGCTGTGAGAGCACGGAGGTATTTGAATTCGCAAGCATCGAGGTAGGCTTTGATTACCGAATCTTCCGGTTGGATCTGGAGCAACTTTTGGACAAGACAGAGGAAATGCGAAGGTCTTTCAAGTCCAACCAGACCGCCGATGTGGTGGAGAGATACGGCAAGAGGCAGGATGGTTGAGGAGGAAAGGCCGAAACAATGTTCTTTCCAAAAGGCGGATTCGTAGATACGGTAGCGGATGGTTTTTTCTATTAGGTGTTGCGGGTTCCTACCGTGGATCGAGACTGCCTTTCGGATTGTGGCGTTGGCCATGCTTACGACCTACGACGCTTAGATGGGGCTGCTATGCATGTGGAGAAGAGGGAAGAGTCCAGAAAGAAACCGTCCAGAAAGAAAGCGTCCAGAAAGAAAGCTTGGAGCCGAAACCCGAAGCCGAAACCCGAAGCCAAAACCCGAAGCCAAAACCCGAAGATTTTATTTATTCCTGCAATTGCTGTTAGAGCGAGTATGGCTAACAAAGTCCGAGAGAAATTCACGAGGAGGAGAACGACACATCTCAGAGTTGAAGTCATTCGTCAGTGCGTTGAAGTCATTCGTCAGTGGTTGGAGTTGAGGCGTCTTGTTGATGATGATGGTGGGAGAGAGAGAGAGAGCGAGAGAGCGAGGAGTCTATATATATACAAAAGAAGAGCGGCAGAGAGCCGCATTAACTGCGGAACATAACAAAGCATTTTGTCTTGAGTAGGTTGTGACACATGTGGTCCGTGCTCAGATGCTCAGGCCTTTTACTCGGCCGTAAGCGCTACCCTCACTGTCTCTACGCTTTGTGTAGCCTTATCTACTTCAACTCTCAGAAGTGTCACTCAGAAGTGTTGGTCTCGCAGACTTGCTTTTCAACCTACACCATCACCACCATCTATCTTGTCATCGCTCAGCACAAAGGTCTACACTGCAGCGCGCTACAAAGCGCAATACCCTCGCCCACAAATGTCGTCCTCATCATCCTCAGCAGCCGATGCAAGACGCAAAGCCGAAATAGAAGCCAAGAAAGCAAAACTCCTCGAAATCCGTCGTCAACGTGAAGAACGTGCTCAACGACTCAGGTCCACCGCCACTTCCTCCGCCACTTCCTCCGCCACTTCGGCCGCCCTTGCATCCGACTCGGCATCCTCTGCACCCAACTCTTCTCGAAAAGACCTAGACGATCTTGTAAACTCGCTCATATCTAATGCACCCGGCACTCGCAGTTCTCGCGCACCCCTCATCGGTGATCCCTCTTCCCCACGCAAATCCCTCCTCGCTGGTGGCAGTGACCGTCCATCGTCAGATTTCGGAGGATCAGAATCCGAAGTTCCCTCTACTCCAAGCGCAGCGACACACACTGCTCCCTCCACCACAGCTGTTGCCGTATCCGAGCGTCTGGGTCCGGTGGAGCTGATCGATGTACAAACCGAACTTTTCGAGTTACCCCGAAATCAACGTGTATTCTATACGAAAGAGGTTCAGACTGCTGCGCTTGGCCCTTCCGACTCTGAGGACGCAGCTTATCATCCTGCAGGTGGAGTCGGTGCAGAGTCCAGGGCGAGTAGAGAGACCGACGAGAGTCTTCGGGCCAAGATCCAAGCAGAGTTAGCAGCAGACCAGGCAGCACGTGCTCAAGAAGATCGACTCGAACGAGAAATTGCCCAACAGCTCCGCGAACTCACCGAGGAAGAGAGAGTGGCCCTTTATACCGCACAAGGCTTTTCCGAGTTTGTGGAGCAAAGTAGTAAGATCGTGGAGAGAGCTTTGACGGATAGATACGATTATACAAAAGACTACCGCATCACCTCTGACGCCATTACTTGTGCTGATTCCGCTTCTCATCTCCGTCTCCAACGTATCTTCGGAGGCAGCGGGGATCACTTGTTCGCCAATCGAAGCGTGACTGCTATCGATTGGAGTACCAAACACCCGGAGCTCTGTGTAGTCGCCTACAACCGTAATGACCAAGACCAAGAGGCACCCGACGGAATAGTTGCCGTTTGGAACACTCATCTTGCCGAACGACCCGAGTTTGTCTTTTATGCCCAAACCGATGTCCTCTCGGTTTGCTTCTCGCCCTTCCACCCGAACCTGATCGTTGGCGGAAGCTATTCAGGTCAGATTTTGATATGGGATACACGATCGCGTCAACTTCCCATTCTCAAAACTCCCCTCTCCGCATCTGGTCACACGCACCCCGTCTATGGCCTGGCGATCATCGGTAGTGCCAACGCACACAACCTTGTTTCTGCCTCCACGGACGGAACTCTGTGCTATTGGATGTTAGATATGCTAGCTCGACCTCAAGAAACGCTTGAACTCATCAACACCACGCACCCCAAAACCGACGAGGTAGCGGTAACTACACTGGGCATAGCAGATCAAGAAACGACTTGCTTCCTAGTCGGTACCGAAGACGGTAACCTCTACGTAGGCAATAGGTACGATAGAGCAGGCTTGAAGGCCGGATTAAACATGGCAGAGGTCTATAAGGCACATCTCGGACCGGTGACAGGCTTGCATTTTCATCCTCTCATTCGTGGAGGTGCAGTTGATTTTTCCGATCTCTTTCTGACGAGTAGTGTCGATTGGACAAGTAAGCTTTGGAGACTTAAGCCCAATAGCTCAGGTACATCCACCGCTATCAAGGCCACAGGCGAATCCGCCAAAGGTGGTATGCAGGCCCTTTTGACTTTTGAAGAGAGTAACGATTATGTCTATGATGTCAGATGGAGTCCTACTCATCCGGCAGTTTTTGCGCAGGTGGATGGGACGGGAAGATTGGATTTGTTCAATCTCAATCTTGATACCGAGAGGCCGGTGGCCAGTGTATTTTCCGCACCCAATGCTGGTGGTGCCAATGGCAATGCAGGTGCGATGGAGGCGATCGGAGCAAGGGGAGCAAAGGCATTGAATAAGCTAAGTTGGGCAAAGAATGGGAGGAAAGTTGCAACAGGTGGTTCGGATGGAGTGCTGTGTGTCTATGATGTCAGCGAGCCTTTGGCCGTTGCAGGTGAGGATGAGTTCAAGCTGTTTCAGGGAGTCATTGGGCGGTTGTTATCCGAGGGAAAAGTAACTGCGCCCTCTGGTGGATCTGTGAGGTTGTCTAGTGGCTTATAAGCTTATCACTCCTAACATGTTGCGATCACAACATCACCGCGCAACAAAAGCTTTCTGAGACTGCGGAAATAATGTATCCAAAGTGCAAACATATCAATCTCGGATAAGCTGAGCACCTTGCTCGGTAACACTCAAGAACTTAGCATCGCACCTCTCAATCCCACCCTTATCCCTAAACGTCTTTACAATCTCTTGTGCGATCTTGTCCTCATTCTCTGTTGCCAAAGCGAGTATAGTCGGACCGGCGCCACTCAAGCAAATGCCCAAAAGGCCAGGGTGAGTTTTTGGCGTTACTGATGCAAGTATATCTGGTAAACCTGGAATCAGATTTGCCCTATACGGTTGATGTACCTTATCCTGCATTGCTTGGTAGATCAAAAATGGGTCTGGTGGCGTTTTTGTCAAAGCTGTGGTAAGAACTGCTAGCCTTTGAAGGTTAAAGATGAGGTCCTTTTTCGAGTATGATTCCGGCAGAGCGGCTCTAGCTAGAGCAGTGCTCACTTGGAAATCCGGAATAATAGCGATCACTTTGATCTCCGCACTCCAACCGAAACGAATATAGTGTCCGATAGAGTATGGCGGGCAAGGCGGGTTTTGGCCCCAAGAGCCGGAAGCGTTGGCAGGGTATTCTGGAATAACTTCTGAAAGCGGTACATCACGACGTTGTTCGTCTGAAGGGGAAAGTTCGAGTAGATAGGAACCGACAAAGCCTCCCATCAGGGCTGCAGTTACGTTGTCTGGATGTCGTTCGATCATTAGTGCATGATCCAAAAGTCGATCTTTGGTCAGGTTGAGATTGCCCAGTTCGTTTCCGAGCACAAGGCCAGCAACGACGGCGGCTCCTGAGGAACCTAGGCCGCGTCCAAAGGGTACTTGGTTGTCGACTTTGATGTCTACACCGATTGGGAAGGAAGAGACTCCATTGCATCGGAGGACATAGAGCGCAGTTCGGGTGGTGAGGTTTTTATACGGGTCCAGAGGAGCTTCGTCCGCGCCAAGACCAGTGTAGGAGAGTGTGGGGGCCGTGTTGGTGGAAGAGCAAGGAGTGACCGAGACCGAAAGTGTTAGGTAGAGGGACAGGGAGAGACCCACCACGTCGAACCCGGGGCCGATGTTGGAGGATGTACAGGGGACTTTGATCGTGAATTTGCGGTCTGTCATGGTGAATGTCCGTGCCGGGGATGGTGGTGGCAACGACGATGGTGAGACGAACAAGATAGCAAGCTTGCATGTGACTCGAAAGCGACCTTCATCCAAATATCGCCGATGATCTTGGCCCGATGTATATTTTGGCCCGATGATTTTTGGCCCGATGATTTTTTGCCCGATGATCACCGATTATCATCTGCCAACCATTCTTCAACAAAACATTCAACGCGGATCTTGATGGCTGCCACAGCACAAAGACTGAGGCAGTAAACCGTACTCCTCAAGGTCAGCTCATGGAGCGGCTCACAAACTATCCTTCAGAGATATCAACAGAGATTCAAGCGGTACGGCGAGACGATCACTGTGATTGTTCGGTGGGATTCAATGGATGCACAGATGAAGCTGGCAGAACATGATTTCCGTTGACCCTCTCGACATGCTTTGATCTACTGAGCAGAATGAAGCGACTTGTACTTGCCCCAAGCAGCATCTAATCGATCCAAATGACTCTGAACTTGCTTTACCGCCACTTTCCTCGCCTGTCTTGTCGTATCACTATTCACATTCACCGAGTCCAGCGCTAACAACTGTCTCAACAACAGCTCTGACACTCTTCTATGCGTATCTGGTACTTGGCCCCACTCCATCCCACCCTCTCCTTCCTTTCCGCCTTCTTTCTCCTTTCCGTCTTCTTTCTCCTTAACAGCCTGTTCCACCTTAACCACATCCGGGAAAAGATGCTTTCTAGCAGTATCCAGCGCTTCAGCGATCCTATCCATTAGTGCCTGTTCGGAAGTGTCTGCTTCTTTCGCTTTCTTTTCTCGTGCTTTTTGTTCTCCGACGGATAGAGCTCCGACCCCGACAGATTGTTTTGCACCTGGTTTATCACCTTCTTCTCGACTAGCGACTAGACCGATACGGGAACCTTCGGATAAACCGTAAGCGGTGAGGGGTAGACGATCGTCTCGCATGACGAGGCCGCGATGGATCAGTTTAATTTTTTCAAAGGCGAGAGAGGTGATGGAGGAGATTTCATGCCGTAAGTGTCCAAGGGTTACTGGTTCGGCTGTTTTCGGAAGAACAATTTGCAATCTACGGGACAGAGAAAGGGTGTGAGTGAGACGGAAAAGGTAAGGAAAAGATGAGTATAAGAGCAAGTAGGAGATCAAGTGTGAGCCGGTGGGGACAAAAGAAAGAAAAGAAGAAACTTACCTCTCTCGACCCCAAACAACTTGAATACGACGAATTGGACCATCGTTGCCACCTGAGCGAGAAGATCCATGAGGACCATTGTTGGACCATCGATTCCACTGTGATGAGAACCAAGACATCTTTGCTGCTAATCTTCTGGTCGATGTCGTAGCGCTATAATCGAGACTCGGATGCAAACAGTAGACAGAGCGGATGGAATGCGCAGCTTGAGGCTTTGCCGCCGTAGCTGATGGGATATGATGAGCTGAGCTGAGACGAGTGGTAGCAGATGGTGGTCCAAGTGAAGAAGTCACCGAGCACAAAATACTCCACTTTTCAGCAGCGCAGCAGAGAGACTGTGGCATGCTGGAAGTTACGATCCAGCCCGATTTAGGAATAATGTAGATAAGATCTGTAGAGGATCGGGCGGAGAAGGTACCGTCGGCGATCAGGTCAAGTAGATGTGATCGGGATCAGATGGGGCAAATCAGATAGGGAATCGGGGTGAGCCGATGCAAGACAGAGTTCGGAAGCAACCATCCCCACTCGTTGCTACACACTGTCATGAGGTAGGATACGCCCACAGTCGGGCATGTGCCACACGTTTGTATATAAGTCTGGCAGGGAGCTTGAGGCTCCCGCCACATTCATTCCTTTTCTATGTCAATATAGTATAGTGTTTTGCTTTTTAGCTTGAACACCGTACTGTGGCAGATATCTCCCGATCACAGTCAGCGAGTGATTCCTTTATTGCAACATGGCATCCGAGCCAACGTGATCAAAAGCCAACCAAATACCGTTGTCGCCCGAATTTTCATTTTTGTCATACGTGCCGATGTAACATTTTCTGCTTTTTCCCAAAGATCCTTCTTTCGACCTCTTGCCCCTCAGCTGTACACACACAAGTTGCCAACGAGAGGCATGATGGACGGTGTCTCAAATGCCATCCAGTCTACATATGAGGCCATAGTGCTGGATGAAAAAGGATCGCATGCCGGTTTCATACGAGCCTGCCGACCTACCTTTACATCTGTCCCTTGATCTGTTTCACTCAACAAAGAAAACAATGTCAGCGGAACCTATTCACGTAGACCACGCTTGTTCGAGGGGTCAATCAACTTACATCGACCTTGCTAAACTTTTGAATAGCATCCCTCAGAGGTTGCATTGCCGCTTTTGCATCCCACTGCCTCTTCTCCAATGCAAGGCTAGGTATCGATCTATCCTTTTTTTTCTTCTTGCCACCATTCGCTTGTGGCACCAATGCAGCGAGTTCAGCTGGTGTCGGTTCGATGTACACCGCGGCTCCGTTTGTCGAAAGGAATTGATCGGCTTCTGCTACGTCTGGAAAAGCTAGCTCTTCGGCGATGAAGGTGAGTGCTATGGAGGGTCGGTAGCTGTGCCAGGTGGAACAACAAGTTCTTGGTCAGTATAAAGCAAGGAAGGTGGGAGCGAGGAAAAAAGCAGCCGAGGCTTTACCATTTGGACATGATGAGCAGGGCATTGATTCGTTCTCGTTCGATAAAGTGGTCCATAATATAGGCATTCATGTTGGGTGCATCGGTATAGAGTTGGAAGAAAGAATGATAGTTGCCTGTCACCAGTGCAGCTCGCACTTGAAGTGCATGCGCAACAGCTACTTCGGTCTTGTGTTCTTCTGTTAGTTCTGCCATCAAAGCATTCACATCTGCGTCACCAGCGAAGGAACCCACGAAAGATTCAACGTCAGCATTACTCGTTTGTCATATTTCCATCATCAAAATCGAGACGGTGACTTACCTCGACGATTCTTGGTATGCAACAAATACAAGATTCTGTAAGCCAAAGACTCGATCGCACTTCCCTTGATGCCATACGCATACAAGCCTCTCAACTGACTCTGACACTGGTTGTATTCTCCCAGATCGCCCATCTCTAACGCTATCCTTGCGTGAATCTCGTACACCTTGACGGTAAACTCGTTCTTGATCCTCTGCACGGTGAGATCCTGTCGCATGGACTTGAACTGATCGCAGATGTACGAGTAGTTGTTTTCCGTTCGCCATTTCTTCTTGAGCAACTCGAGCGTCTGCACTAGGGTCGATAAAGGACGGACTGTTTTTGGGTCTGGTGCGGAAGTGAGACGTAAGTAAGGCTTTTCGAGCTTACTGCTTGTACCAACGACCGTATCCTCGTCCCAATCAATCACGTTGGGATCTGCAACTTCGGTGTCTGCGAATGCAGGTGCGCCGTATTTGGCCCTGCCCTTGTTGAATCCGTTCGCTTTGGCTGTTTTGCCTTGTGCGCCTGGCCAGACCTCCTGCTGTGCGGTCGATACTCTCGATGTTGGTCCCGCTGCTCCGCCAAAGCGTGATGCGAGGGAAGTGGAAGCAATTGCAGTCTCCAACATATCATCTTGTTGTCTTCTGAACTCCTCCTGTTCGCTTTCGAATCGTTTTGCTCGCTTCTCTTTCCTTGCTTGCTCTTCCACATCCTCTGCTGAGAGAGATGTTGATGTTGGTGCGGATCGCTTCTTGAGAAGCGACTTTTTCGCTCGAGTAGATGGCCCGGCTAAGCTCTCGAGACTTGCGTTGGCCCAATCTGTTGTGTGGATGGAACCATTCTGGAAAGAATCAAATATGAGTGTCCTTAGCTCTTCAGAGACAGCTTTGCGGTTGGCGTCTGTACAGGCAGCAAAGGCTCGGTTGGCAAAATCTTTGAGTGATTGTGGCCACTCTGTCTGTGACGACATGTCGGTCTACAGGCTGTAATAGTCGAGATCAAGATCACTGGCTGAGTACAGCGAAGAAAGTCGGAGCGTGGAGCACTTCACAGAATCATGTCTTGCTGTGCATAGGTCGCGGGGTCGAATGTTGCCAGGGAGCGTTTCAACCGCTAGAGAAGTTGCTGCCGAGTTTTGGATACTTGATGCTTGCTCAAAGAGACCGGCTATGTGGTTATCAAAATCGTTGACTGGTCTTGCCGCTTTGCCACTTGGTATGCCAGGATGAAGAGTCAGAACAGTTCATGTCGAGTGAAGGGAGAGAGCTAAGGTGTCAGGTGCGAGCCCTTTCTGCTGAAATTGTGGAGCAGCCCGATCTAGAAATCAGAAGGCCCGATCTAGAAATCAGAAGGCCCGATCTGAAATGATTTTTTTCGGAAGCGGCAATAAAAAAAGCGATCTGACAGCCTTCTGATATTCCGCTCCGAAGGATTGCTCGCTAAAACACACGAGGTCTGTCAATCCTCACGACGGCACGACGGCACGACGGCATGGAAGAACAGTGTGATTGCAGAGTCGACCTGCTGATTTGGCGGTGGACCTGTGTTGATCTTGCGCTTTGTGTTCAGCTTCGCCCTGAAATCCTCTTGACCCAGGACCCAGGAGGAATTTGTCAGGAAGAAATGGCAAAAAAGAATGTTGGATTTTTGGTTGCTTCCACACCCTGCTAGGACCGCAGTTGAGGTTCTGCCTACAGTTGAAGTACCATAGTGCCAATTGAGGTGTCAACATCGTCTAGAGGTGGTGATACAACACACTTGCTATGTGACTGCAATACCTGGATTGTGTAAGCAGTTGTGCACCTGAAACCTGAGTTTGGTGGTCCTGGTTGATATCAGTGAGGTCAACCAAGTAAGCTCCTTCTGAACTGTTTCAGTGAAAGGAACCAGAAGGCTTACATCTGATAGGTTTTGACTGACTGCCTTGAACACTCTGTTCAGAGGCTATGTGGCACAATTGTGAAATGTGATTGTCTTGCTAATGCTATGCCTAGGTATAATGGATCGATGTATGTGACAGCACGAGTGTGTCAGTGGTCACATGCCTGAAACCCGAAATCTATTGTAAAGGTCGATCAAATCAACCTTGGCGAAATCTATCGTAGAAGCCTTCTATTTGTTGAAGAATTTGGCTCTTTGACATCGTTTTATTGGGAGGTGTCAATCTAAGCACAATGTTCATGCTATTCGAGCTAAACACACTATACTATATTGACCTGAAGAGAGTGTGTGGTAAGAGCCTTGAGCTCCCCATTTGATTTATATACACAGTTCTGGCACATCCCATGAGTGGGAGCATTCTCCTTCATGATGAGCTATGACAACCAGTGTGGCCCTGTTGTCCCCAATTCACATGACATTGGCCCCAGATGACCTATGATTAGATCATCTTTGTCTGATTCATCATCAGATCTATATTGCCCAATCCAATCAATCTCCCACTGTGTCAATTTACGTCACCTTTGTATCTTGTCAGATCGTTTTCTTCAGCACCCCCTCTCGATCTGGCATGCTCCTTCAATACCGTTAATCCAAGCAGTTGTCAGAGATGCAGGAGTGTCAGTGTGGTGAGCAGCTTGATTAGTAGATCAGCTAAGTTGTCACAGCTTTGAACTGGAGTGATCATGAGTTGTTGATTTGCAATTTCATCATGCAGGAAGAAGTGAGTGATGTCAATGTGTTTCATTCTCTTGAAGTGTTGGGGGTTGTTCACAATGGCTCTAGCCCCTGATAAGTCGCTGTGTAGGACTGGCACATTCCGGTTGAAGGCCAGTTCCCTGTTACAGGGTCAACAGATCAACATATGAAGGGTGTGCCAAATTGATCGGCACCAAATCATCAGGAATCGATGAAGTTAATCAGGCTGGTAGGACATATGATTTATGAGATCAACCAAACTCTGGGTTCCAGGTTAATCTCATGAGGATCAATTGGGATCAGCCAGATCAGCATGCCTCAGCAAGTCAGCTGATATGAGCAAGTATCAGGAGATTCAGGAAGGAAGGTACTGGCATTAGAAGGAGAAGCATACAGAGATAACCACATGTAGGAGCAGGGGACTGAGCTCAGCATCATGCAGATGGTTACCACTTGAGGGGTGCATGCATATAGCCACACAGGACCAAGCACAGGGGGCAACTGCATGACCAAGGGGTTTGGTCATGAGGTCCAACAAGTGGCTAAGGGGATTCACAAGATAAGGTCAGGAAGGTGGTCGCCAGTAAAGAGAGAAGGAAGCGGTGAACAGACTGGTTAAACAAAGAGGAGGAGCTGTGTTGAAGGGGTCATCACACATCATCAAGTGGAAAGGGTGCATGAAGGTGAAAGGGCAGTGTTGCATAACCATTACACTGTGCAGATGGTAGGGGCACAGCATCAAAGGGATCGACACCAGCAGGAGAGACAGTGTCAAACAGGGGACAAAGGCCCTGTCAGGGGTCTCGTGCCTGAAACCCAGGTTGGTCTGTCGCAATACTTAGTGACTATCAAACTGTGCAACAGCTATTGTCTTGGTATCAGTCTTGATGAGCTATGTTGCTTGGTGACTATCAAGTTGCGCAATGACAGCAGGTGGCATTCATTGTATATACTGTCATAGGTTTCGGCTGACCTCTGTGGACACTCCATTCAGGGGTAGCTCAGCATGATCAATATCAATGTGTAGGTTATGATGACACCAAGGTCTGGTGTGAGTGTTGATGATGATGAGGTTGATGGTCTATAGCAAAGTCACTTGCATCAGTTTCCAACCTTGTTGGAAGGTGGTAGTCGAAGTGCTGAAGCACTCCTGCAGATGTGAATGCCTGGATGAGCTTGTGGAAGGCCTGTTGGGCCTCCTCTGGTAGCTCGAACTTCTTGAACTGTTCTATAGGCTTTACCAGTGCTGTCAAGGGCTTGGCTATGCAAGCAAAGTGGGCTATGAACCTTCGATAGAAGTTGGCAAAACCCAGGAACCTCTGGATGTCATGGATTGACTCCAGCATTGGCCACTCCTTGACAGTGTGCACCTTTTCTGGGTCCATCTCTATGCCCATTGGCTTGATGATGTACCCCAGGAACTCGACTGTCTTGGTGTGGAACTCACACTTCGACAGCTTAGCAAAGAGCCTGTTGCTCCTTAAATGAGTGAGGACCTTGGTGACATGCTTCACATGTACCTCCTCAGTGTCACTGAAGATCAGGAAGTCATCTAGGTATACCACTACATATACTCCAATGATGTCTTGGAAGATGTCATTGATGAATGACTGGAAGTGAGCTGGAGCATTGGCTAGGCCAAAGGGCATCACTAGGTACTCATAGAGTCCCAACTGAGTGCCAAAAGCTGTCTTCCATTCATCTCCTTTAGCAATCTGGATGAGGTTGTATGCTGCTCTAAGGTCTAGCTTGGTATAGATCCTTGCCTTCCTGAGTAAGAACAGCTGCTCCTCGATGAGGGGCAATGGTGCCCTGTTCTTGACAGTGATCTCGTTGAGACCTCTGTAGTCCACACAGAGTCTGAGACCTCCATCCTTCTTTGGTACAAAGAGCACTGGTGATCATGCTGGGCTCTTCGATGGTCTTATGAACCCCTTCTCGAGGTTCTCATCCAAGTACCTCCTCAACTCGGACATCTCCTTGGGTCCCTTAAGGTATAGGGGCCCTTGAGGTGGCTTACCTCCATCTATCAACTCGAGGTGGAGATCATGCTTGGTATGATGGGGCAGCTTGTCTGCTTCCACCTCATTGAACACATCTCACAGGTGTTGGTATGGCTTTGGTATGTCTGCAGCTGTCACCACCTTGTCTACCTCCACCTCCATCTTGACTCCTTTGTCTGCACCTGTAGGTACAAAACCAAAGGCCAGGAGTGATGATGGTGGCTCCTCTAACAGCATGATCCCTATGGGTCCATCTTCCAGAGCTGCTTGTAGTATGTGCTCTGCTGAGACAAACTCGTTACCATGAAGGGTTGGTCTCCTCATGGTTAGGCCCCCTGCTCCTGCTGCTTCAGGGGGTCTCCTTGGGGGTCAGTCCTGCTCCTGAGTCTTGAACTCCAGCTGGCCCGTATCCCATTGTATGGTGGGTTTGAGCCTCCATAGCTTGGTGAACCCCAGGATGAGGTCATAGTCAGCAGTGTCAGCCACTGAAGCTTCAACCACACCCAGATTGTGTGTACCAATAGATACCTGCATGCTCACAGAACTATTGATGGAGAGTTGGTGTCTGGTGACACCATGGATTGATCTTGTTTTTATGGGTTTTGTGGGTATTTGGTACTTACTAATGAAAGAATCTGAGACTATGGACAAACCAGCACTGGTATCAGCTAGTATCTGAGCAGGATGGTCTTGAACCATTCCAGAGAGCTCCAGTACTGCCTTGCCTTCACTGGTAGAGAAACATACTTGACAATCTTGATATATACAGAGTGATGGCGAGGAGGTTTGTAGAGCAATGCATGCCATCAGTGCATCACCCCACTGATGTTTCCCTCGTCGTCGCCATCATCATGGTCCTCCTCCTCATGATTGGGGTCCATGGATTGCTGGTATGAGCTGAGGTCGAAGAGGACCAAGCTCAAGGAGCATGCAGATGGTTACCACTCAGGGGCTCGAGAGACAAGAGTCGAAGGAGTCGACACCAGGTCCTGAGGAGGAGGAGCAGTGTTGAAGGAGTCGACATGACTCAGGAGGCACAAGGGTGCCAAACAAGCAGGGTAGCAAGGAGGAGGAGCAGTGTCGAAGGAGTCGACACAGCTCAAGAGGCACAGGGGTGCCAAGCAGGAGAGGCCCCTGAACAGTACTCGATGAAGAAGGTACTCTCTGGAGAGAGAGCAGGAGCAGCATCGCTGGCGATGCTGTGAAGAGGTATATAACCATGCTTTCTCATCATCATAGGTCGAGTGGATCCTCATCCACTCTACTCACCATACAACTAGTCAATACTTTAGAAACATAAGTACTCATTAGTTACAGTCAGCATAGCAGCAATCTATCAAGGTTGCTCCTCATCGTAGTGTGTGTGTTGTATCATCACTACCTGACATCTGTAGGCGCCCCATAGCAGGTTAGCAGTCCGGATATAGATAGAACCGAAGGCAGTAGTCCACTGCGGTCCGGGGATCACTTCAAGCGTCAAAGTCAACACACTGGACACTCGTGTTGACACCACCAACCTTATCACCAACACCATCAACCTCATTATCATCAACACTCACCAACCTTATCACCAACGTCATCAACCTCATCATCATCAACACTCACACCAGACCTTGGTGTCATCATAACCGAAGCATTGATATTGATTGTGCCGAGCTACCCCTGAATGGAGTGTCCACAGAGGTCAGCCGAAACCTACGATAGTATATACAACGAACACCACCTGCTGTCACTGTGCAACTTGATAGTCACCAATACTGAGACAATAGCTGTCGCACAGTTTGATAGTCACCAAGTACCTCGACAGACCGACCTGGGTTTCAGGCGCGAGACCCCTGACACAGGGCACCACTGCCCCTCATCGAGGAGCAGCTGTTCTTACTCAGGAAGGCAAGGATCTATACCAAGCTAGACCTTAGAGCAGCATACAACCTCATCCAGATTGCTAAAGGAGATGAATGGAAGACAGCTTTTGGCACTCAGTTGGGACTCTATGAGTACCTAGTGATGCCCTTTGGCCTAGCCAATGCTCCAGCTCACTTCCAGTCATTCATCAATGACATCTTCCAAGACATCATTGGGGTATATGTGGTAGTATACCTAGATGACTTCCTGATCTTCAGTGACACTGAAGAGGTACATGTGAAGCATGTCACCAAGGTCCTCACTCACTTAAGAAGCAACAGGCTCTTTGCTAAGCTGTCGAAGTGTGAGTTCCACACCAAGATAGTCGAGTTCCTGGGATACATCATCAAGCCAACAGGCATAGAGATGGACCCAGAAAAGGTGCACATTGTCAAGGAGTGGCCAATGCCAGAGTCAATCCATGACATCCAGAGGTTCCTGGGTTTTGCCAACTTCTATCGAAGGTTCATAGCCCACTTTGCTTGCATAGCCAAGCCCTTGACAGCACTGGTAAAGCCTATAGAACAGTTCAAGAAGTTCGAGCTACCAGAGGAGGCCCAACAGGCCTTCCACAAGCTCATCCAGGCATTCACATCTGCAGGAGTGCTTCAGCACTTCGACTACCACCTTCCAACAAGGTTGGAGACCAATGCAAGTGACTTTGCTATAGCAGGAGTACTCAAGCAGGAGCATGAAGGACGATGGCATCCAGTGGCCTTCTACTCTAGGAAGATGTCTTCTGCCAAGAAGAACTATGAGATCCATGATAAGGAGCTCCTAGCTGTGGTTGCTTGCCTTACTCAGTGGCGACACATGCTAGCTGGACTACCAAGTCAACTGGTCATCCTCACTGACCATGAAGCCCTCAAGTACTTCAAGTCACAGAGATGCATCACAGGTCAACAGGCTTGATGGGCAATACTACTAGCAGACTTCGACTTCATACTGCAGTATCGACCAGGAGACAAAGGTGGAGAGCCTGATGCTCTCACCAGAAGGACTGATATGCAACCAGCTGGTGAAGAGCAGGATCACAATGTGAGGCAACTACTGCCTCCTCGAGTGTTCAAGGAGACAGCAGACCATGACTCAACCCTAGTGGCCCCTATGCTCTCGATGGAGTCCATAGCATCAAAGGGTCTCAGAGACCTGGTCAAGATCTTCCAGCCCTTAGACCAAGAGCTACAGGAGATACATATGAAGAAGCCCTTCGAGGTCAAGGATGACCTATGGTACAGTGGAGGAAGGTTGGTTATCCCCAAGGTAATCATGCCAGGGAGGACCAACAACCAACACTCAAGGAGTGCCAAAGAGGTAGATGGACAGTCTCTCTCTGTAGAGCACCTGCGATTCATGGTGATGACCCAATGCCATGATGGCATCACTGCTGGACATGTGGGAAGAGATGCTACCATCAAGGCAGCTCAACGACATTACTGGTGGCCAAACATGACAGCTTGGATTGCAGACTATGTAGCAAGTTGTCCTGTATGTGCTAGGTACAAAGCTCCTCGTCACCATCCATATGGTTTGCTACAGCCACTAGCAACACCAGACAGGCCCTGGGGCTCCATATCCCTCGACTTCATCGAAGGATTACCACCATCAAGGAACTATGACTCCATCCTTGTCATTGTCGACAGGCTGACCAAGTTTGCCATACTAGCTCCAACCCATAAGACAGTCACAGCCAAACAGACTGCAGTGTTGCTATACAGACACATGGTTAGACTTTTTGGATACCCAGATCACATGGTCTTGGACCGAGGCAGGCAGTTCATATCAGGAGCATGGAAGGCATTTGCAGAACAAATGGGTGTGAAGCACTCACTTAGCACAGCCTACCATCCTCAAACTGATGGTCAGACAGAGAGGGTCAATCAGGTCATAGAGCAGTACCTAAGGATGTACTGCAACTATGAGCAGAATGATTGGGCCAACCTGCTGGACACTGCAGCCTTTGTATACAACAACATGGTCCACAACAGCATTGGTGTCTCACCATTCTTTGCATGCTATGGATGGAACCCCAAAGCTCATCCTGATATCCCTCAACGACTAGGAGTCAATGATCCAGGTCGCTTTGAGTACCTCATGGATGGAAAGGAGCATTGCAAGTACCTCCAGGAGCAGATCAGAGAGGCACAACATAGATCAGTAGACCAGTATAACAGGAAGCACAAGGACATCGAGTTCAAGGTGGGTGATATGGTCTATATCAACCATCAAAACTGGAAGACAAGGAGACCCACACCCAAGTTAGATACTCGGTTTGCAGGACCCTACCCAGTTCAGGAATGAGTAGGATGCCAAGCTTATTGGATCACATTGCCAGCAAATCTTAGGGTGCATGATGTGTTCCATGTCTCCATGCTCGAACCAGCAAGAACAAGTTCTCTTCCTCAACAAGCTGAACAGCCCACCATACCATCACTTCCAGATGAGGACCTCGATTTTGAAGTTGAAGCACTCATCGACAAGCGTTCACACAATGGGACTACAGAGTACAAAGTGTTGTGGAGAGGGTACTCAGAAGAAGCTGCTTCATGGGAACCAGTAGAGAACCTCAACTGCCCCGACCTCATCCAGGAGTATGAGGTGTCGGAGGGGGGACGAGCGAGAGCGAGTAGACAGAGTAGAGAGAGGAGGAGAGAACAAGAGGAATAGAGAGAGAAGGAGGAAGGAGAATGATGTTGAGAGAAGGAGGAAGGGTGATGTTGGCGATGTTGTCGAGAAGGAGGAGGAGGAGGAGTCAGCATGAACCAGACCAGAGCATGCCTTGACGGAGCTTGGCTCTTAAGAGAGGGGTAGTGTCATGGGCCTGAATGCTCAAGAAGCAGGAGGGTCACTGGTTCATATGGAAGGAGCACAAGTATTGAAGATCTAGTCAATACCATTAGAGAGCATGGTCGTAGTGCAGTCTCCATGGAGACCATGGACTCCTACAGACTCACATGCAAAGAAGGATCGAGCCATATGTGAGGAGGGCCAGGCACAGCCATGAGGAGGACCAAGCTCAAGGAGCAGGCACTGCCATGAAGAGGACCAAGCTCAAGTGTCATGGGCCTGGATGCTCAAGAAGCAGGAGGGTCATGGGTTCATATGGAAGGAGCACAGGTATCGAAGACCTAGTCGACACCAGTAGAGAGCATGGTCGTAGTGCAGTCTCCATGGAGACCATGGACTCCTATGGACTCACATGCAAAGGAGGGCCAAGCACAGCCACGAGGAGGACCAAGCTCAAGGAGCAGGCACAGCCACGAGGAGGACCAAGCTCAAGGAGCAGGCACAGCCACGAAGAGGACCAAGCTCAAGGAGCATGCAGATGGTTACCACTCAGGGGCTCGAGAGACAAGAGCCAAAGGAACTGTCACTGATCAAAGGAGGAGGAGCAGTGTCGAAGGAGTCGACACCAGGTCATGAGGAGGAGGAGCAGTGTCGAAGGAGTCGACACAGCTCAAGAGGCACAGGGGTGCCAAGCAGGAGAGGCCCCTGAGCAGTACTCGATGAAGAAGGTACTCTCTGGAGAGAGAGCAGGAGCAGCATCGCTGGCGATGCTGAGAAGAGGTATATAACCATGCTTTCTCATCAATAGGTCGAGTGGATCCTCATCCACTCTACTCACCATACAACTAGTCAATACTTTAGAAACATAAGTACTCATTAGTTACAGTCAGCATAGCAGCAATCTATCAAGGTTGCTCCTCATCGTAGTGTGTGTGTTGTATCACCACTACCTGACGTCCGAAGGCGCCCATAACAGGTTAGCGGTCCGGATATAGATAGAACCGAAGGCAGTAGTCCACTGCGGTCCGGGGATCACTTCAAAGCATCAAGTCAACACACTGGACACTCGTGTTGACGCCACCAACCTTATCACCAACACCATCAACCTCATTATCATTGACATCACCAATCTTATCATCAACACCATCAACCTCATTATCATCGACATCACCAATCTCATCACCAACACCATCAACCTCATCATCATCAACACCCACACCAGACCTTGGTGTCATCATAACATTGATATTGATCGTGCCGAGCTACCCCTGAACGGAGTGTCCACAGAGGTCAGCCGAAACCTACGATAGTATATACAACGAACGCCACCTGCTGTCACTGCACAACTTGATAGTCACCGATACCGAGACAATAGCTGTCACACAGTTTAATAGTCACCGAGTATCTCGACAGACCGACCTGGGTTTCAGGCGCAAGACCCCTGACATCAAGGAGCATGCAGATGGTTACCACTCAGGGGCTCAGGAGACAAGAGTCAAAGGAACTGTTGCCGGTCAAAGGAGAAGGAGCAGTGTATAGGGAACCAGCAAGCAGGTCCTGAGGAGGAGGAGCAGTGTCAAAGGAGTCGACACAGCTCAAGAGGCACAGGGGTGCCAAGCAAGCAGGAGAGGCCCCCTGAACAGTACTCGATGAAGAAGGTACTCTCTGGAGAGAGAGCAGGAGCAGCATCGCTGGTGATGCTGTGAAGAGGTATATAACCATGCTTTCTCATTATCAAAGGTCGAGTGGATCCTCATCCACTCTACACAACCATCATAACTAGTTATCACTTCAGCATAAGTATATATTAGTTTCAGTCAGCATAGCAGCAATCCATCAAGGTTGCTCCTCATTGTAGTGCATGTGTTGTATCACCACTACCTGATGTCCGAAGGTGACCCATAGCAGGTCAGCAGTCTGGATCAAGATAGAACTGAAGGCAGTAGTCCACTGCAGTCTGGGGATCACCTCAAGCATCAGTCAACACACTGGACACTTGTGTTGATGCCACCAACCTTATCACCAACACCATCAACCTTATCACCAACACCATCAACCTCATCATCAACAACACTCACACCAGACCTTGGTGTCATCATAACCTACATATTGATATTGATCATGCTGAGCTACCCCTGAACAGAGTGTCCACAGAGGTCAGCTGAAACCTATGACAGTATATACAATGAATGCCACCTGCTGTCATTGTGCAACTTGATAGTCACCAAGCAACATAGCTCATCAAGACTGATACCAAGACAATAGCTGTTGCACAGTTTGATAGTCACTGAGTATCTCAACAGACCGACCTGGGTTTCAGGCGTGAGACCCCTGACACCGACCCTGTGACAGTGGTGTCTGTCAGCGGTCGCACACCTGAAGTCCAAAACCTGTGGTAAAAGTCAATTACGATAGATCTCGCCGAGATCAATTGTAATTGACTTTTACCACAGGTTTCGGACTTCAGGTGTGCAACCACTTACACGTTCAAGGCGGTTAGTCGAGACCTACTCTTGATCACTCTTAGAACATATTTCATGGAATTACAATGTAAGGAATCATTACTGTGTCTTTCATAGAAATCTATTATAACAGACCTCTATAGCAGATTCTGTATAAGGGAACACTATCACAATTCTCATGGAAAACTACCATAGTCGATTTCTATAGCAGTTTTTAGGTTTCTGGTGTGCAACTGCTTACACACTGCTGTCATGGGCCTGGGTGCACAGAACGAGGAAAGACCGAAGTTCATATGAAGGTAGCACAGGAATCGTGGGATTGGGTAGATTGTAGGAGCTGTGACAGAGTTCACTGAGATTGGCAGTAGAATCAGCTCTATGGCAGATCACAGCAAAATCAGCACAAGCATTGTCGATATCACAAATCCCACCAGAATCTGCAGCAAGCGAGATTGTGTGGCAGATTCTGTGGAGATCGGTAGTAAGGATGTCCATACAATGATTCACATGTGAGAGGGACCGAGCTCAGTGACATGCAGTTGGTTACCACTCAGGGGCCCACAGGACAGGAGTAAAGGAGAACTGTCACCAGTCAAAGGAAGGAGAGCTGTGTAAAGGACACTGGCGAGAGGGACATGAAGAGGAGGAGCAGTGTTGATGAAGTTGACACAGCTCAGGAAGGACAGGAGGGACAAGGCTCGATATGGAGGAGGAGCCTCCTTGGAGATCCCTGTACAGTACTCGACGAAGAGGGTACTCTCTGGAGAAAGAGAGCAGGAGCAGTGTCGCTGGCGACACTATGAAGAGATATATAGTCATACCTTCTCATCACAAATGGTCGAGTGGATCCCCATCCACTCTACACACACCATAACAACTAGTATTACTTCAAGCATATAAGTATCATTAGTTCATAGTCAGCATAGTAGTAATCAATAGATTACTCCTCATTGTAGTGCATGTGTTGTATCACCACACACTGACATCCAAAGGCAGTTCATAGTAAACCTGCAGTCTGGATAACAATAGAACCATAGGCAGTCATCCACTGTGGTCTGGGGATCACTTCAAGTGTTAGTCGACACACTGGACACTTGTGTCGATGTCATCAATCCATACTCACACCAGACCATTGGTGTCAACATCAAGTTCACTTAGAGTTGTATTGTATTTTGATTGTGCTGAGCTACCTCTGGATGGAGTGTCCACAGTGGTCAGTCGAAATCTGTCATAACGTCAATACAACTACAGATTCCAATGAGAAAAGCGACAGAGATGGCTCTGTTGCATATTTCACTAGGAATCGAAATACCATTAGTGCTGTCACATAACTCAACAGAATCGGTGATAGTATCAATACTACCACAGATCTCAGGTTTCAGGTGCGTGACCGCTGACAACTGCCCCCCCCCCCCCCCCCCTCCGTCTCCTTGCTCCTCTTCTCCTGGTGATGTGTGTTGACCTCTTTGACACTGCTCCTCCTCCTCATGGGTTATTCCCCAGTCTCCTCAACACAGCTCTCCCTCCTTGTAACCAGTGACCATCCTCTGATCCCTTATCTTGTAAATCCCCTATTTGCATGATAGACCTTATTGTCATGCTCCCTGACCATGTGGTTGCCCCTGTGGCTGGCTCCATGTGGCAGTGAGCATGTCCCCCTGAGTGGTAACCATCTGTGTGATACTGAGCTTGGTCCCCTTCCTTGCATGTGATCACTTCCTGTATGACTCCCCTTTCTTCTAGTGTTGGGGCCCTCCTTTTCCAATCCTCCTGTTGCTCCCTTGTGAATGATTGACCTGTTCCATACTGATGGGAGCTTTGTGCAGCATGTTTGGTAAAACCTACTGAATTGGCTCTTTTGGATCAATTTCAGTGAGATTAATCTGAAACCCCTGCTGCAGTTGATCTTGCGATTTATGCACAACAAATGCCTGATCAGATCATTGACACCCGATGCTTGCTTCAGATCTTCTGTGCAGGGCCTTCTGCACAGACCCTGTGACAAGTAGCAATGGAAGCGAGTCACTTTTTTGTCTGCCCTGTCTATTGTTGCCACTGCCATTGGAATCAAGGTTGAGCCAGCAAGATCACTTTTGTATCCCATCTTGTCAATGACCACAAATTTCTGATCCTTCACACTGGTGACAATAATGTTGTTGAGACAATCAGTGCCAATGACAAGCACAAGCTTTTGCAATTACTGCCATACATTCTTACAAGCATGAAAGCCATGGGTAATGTGGAAATTGAGCACTTGGGCCCTTAATTTGAAGGCTTCTATGCCCAGCAGGACTATGATACCCTTTGGATGAAAGCCAAAAAAGGACATAAGTTGGACATGTGTTCCACAAAAGCTCTGCTGGAGTTGCAGAGTAAGAAAAGGAAAGAGTACAAGCAGAGGTACAAGGAGTTCTTTGGATGAGGAGGTGGCCAAAGCAATGTGTGTAGAGAACAATGGTAAGTATATGGAAGTGTTATTATGTGAGGAAAGCAAGCATGACCAAGGAGGGAAAAAGGGGCTAAGAGAAGTAAGGATGCTGCAAAGGCAAGGGAATGGCTGGAGAGGGTCAAAGATGATGTGGATTTCAAGAAGAGGAAGAGTGAGGCTGACAAGAGGTACAAGGCAAGGAAAAAGGCAGCAAGGGATCAAGCCAAGTTGTCCAGCAGTCGACATAGCCTGGACATGTTGTCGATCTCAATGGCTGGCTGCTAATCTCCTCGTTGGCTCATCAACGAGGGTCGTGAGCAGGAGGCTCTCACTATTGTTGCTGGCAATTTGTTGTCTTCCCGAGAAGGACCTTGCCATCCAGATGGAGTACCTCGAGGTCAAGGCTGAGAAGCTCTTCGAAGACTGTGTCTTGGTTCACGAAGCAGCAACTTTAAGCTGGGTGCTGCCGAGTACAAGTCTGTCGTTGTCAAGCGTGCCAACTGGTGTGTGGTGTTGAATGAATCCAAGGTGTGTCTTTCTTTGCTTTCTTTTACAGCTTTTACCGCTGCTCCAGAAAGTGTGCAAAAGGGCAGAGTCGGCTCTTCCGTCTCGCTCGGGGCTAGCCGCTGCTGTTTGTGTGATGTTTTCTGAGACTGCATTTCTGCACACACCCTCGCTCTCGGACCAACACTTTTTGGCTCACTCGACTCAAAAAAAGAAAAAGAAAAAGAAAAAGAAAAGGAAAACCCTGTCAATTTCCCACGCCCACACACACACACACTCAAAAACACACACACACACACACGCACAGTGTTTGGCGACCAAAGAGAAACAAGAGAGAGGAACTGCTCAGCAAGCAGAGAGAGAGAGAGACACACATCATCATCTTCGGTCCCTTCCGACTCTGCTCTTCTTCCATTCTCTACCGCTTTTTTGCATCGCAACATCCGATTTGCTTTCTCAGCGTCGTTGCTTGGCCTCACCTCGCCTCATTACGCCTCATCACGCCTCATCACGCCTCTCGTCGCCTCTCCTTTCTCGCTTCGAGCTGGCCAGCGAAAGGGTTGAGTTCTCTCGCTCTGAACTCAGCCTCGTCTGCCAGGGCCCTCTTCGCCACCCACCACCACCACCACCACCATTATCACTGGTCCGGCCTGACTCTCTTTCTCTCTCTCTCTCTCCTACATCATCGGCCATCAGTGCTGTCGAGTTTGACGGCATTCTCTTTCTCTTGTTCGCTCTCACTTGCTCTCTCTTATTCATTGCATACCATTGACGAGCATCCGACACACGTTCTTCAGCATATACCAAACGATTCGTCTTCACCTACGACTTGTCCCCATCGATACCTTGGCTCACGCAGCTTTGATCACTTGGCCACACATCTGCAGCTCCAGCAAAACTTGTCAGGATCTTGATCTTACCTTTCAACGCCACTACGACACAAACGCTCTTAAAGTTAGAGCCGGACACCACATTGCTAGCCATACCCTCGGACCACCACGAGTTTTGACCATCATTCACGCATGCAGCCATTACATGCTATCTGAACCCGCTCTTTACCAACACCTCAGCTAACTCTTGCCGCTTCCTCGTTCGCAACAGCCGACGCCGCCGCCCACGACCATGTCGGATCATGTGCGTCGCGCAGAGCAACAGGCCAGAAGTTCAAGGCCGCGCACCAGCTCCATCTATGACCAACATGGCCCTCTCCTCTCTTTGGCATCATCCACTCCAGCCTTTGCATCGTCCTCAGCTTCACATTCGCTCAACCCTCCAACTCGTACTCGTCTCAACTCGACCACCCGTGTTTCTACTGGCTCGCCACTCACAAGCTCATCCAACACACGTGCTCGTACCATGTCCTCAGCATCACGTCTCTCGACATTGTCGCAAGCAGAACCCTCTTCAGAACCTCGATACCAATCCGACCGTGCCTACGCTACCCTCGCATCTCGCCATCAGGGCCCTTCGATTGCACAGAGCCCCTCACATTCCTTGCCTGCTGCCTCTCGCCGCACATCCTGGACACCACATAAGCTTTCTCACTCCGGCACATCTTCCCTCGCCGACTTTAATCCTAACCTCTCCACATCTCAGTATGTCAACGGCAGCGGCTCTCTTGCCTCCACCACATCAGCTTCTAGGCCTGCAACTGGTTCGAGAATCCCATCTTTCGGTCGCACCGGCACTTCACAGCCACGTCTCGGCGATGCACTTTTAGGCCAAAGGAAAACGAGTGACGTCTCCTCTCGATCTACGGCGATCACCTCGTCCACCTCCAGCTCTTCCCTTGCATTCCCTGCCAGATCCGACTCGCTCGCTCGTTCCTCGCGCCTCACAAATACCCTCACCTCGGCATCGATGAGCTCCAGCCAGTCAGTCAGCAGCGTCTCCTCCATCTCGCGATCAACCAGCGGTACCATGGGTCCACCTACCTCTGCATCTCAATCAACCAATCTTGCGCCACGTCGAACCACCACCACGACCCAATCCGCATCCTCCTCCTCCTCCCTTCACCCCCCACACAGCGACTCACAGCATCCCAAGATCTCTCCTTTGCTTCCCCACTTTGGTCAGAGCTTCGGTGCAGCCCTTTTCGATGACGATGCCATGGGTCGACGCGCTTCTGACACCGCTGCGACTCACAGCAACTGCAGTATCGCAGAGGTAGACGAGCGAGACCAAGATGGTCGCACACCACAAGCCTCCTCTGGTGCTTTTCCCTCATCCTCCAAGTCCAAGCCACAGAATATGCACTTGGGCTTGCGCCACTCGCCCGGCCTTGCTTCCCGCTTCTCCCACTTCTCCAGCGACCTCGCCACTCCAGAAGGCTCCGACGATCCCAATAAGCTGCTCGGCAGATCCCCCTCCTCTTCCGCCTCCAAAGCTGGTCTCGGACTCGGCCTTCCAGATCTCTCATCGGAAGCAAGGAATCGGCATGCATACGCCCAACCGACCGCTGACGATGCTGAGACTCTGCAAACTCCCGAGAAGTATGGCTTGCAGAGTTGGACTCCAAGTGGTACGCCGCGAGTCTATGATCGTGCTGGTCAGATTGGTATCGGTGAGTTGGCTACACCCCGCTGGAACTTCCCCAACACTGCCTTGCCAACCTGGAAGTCGGCTCCCGATGCGACGCCGCTCTCGTCATCCAAGATGGCTCAACGACGCAATGTCAGTGGTGCACTGACCGACGATGGCACCGCACCCGATCCACTCAGCATCTCCCTACTCGAAAGTCACGACTCGGCTCTACAGCGAGAAGCTGACTTTCAGAACTCAGACGGGCCCCAGCCATCGTCACGGAGAGGCCAAGCAGCGGCACGCCATTCGCGTTCCATCTCCTATTCGTCCATCAACAGCATGCAACGCAATGCGCTACGCGATCCCAACGAGCTGCTCTCGACACTCCCCATCAGCCCATCGGCTCCAGGTCGACATATGCCGTTGGATGGTAGCTCCTCCTTGCACACACTGACTCGCGGATACCCTGACAAGCAGTCTGGCTTCATGGCAGAGCTTGACCATGTTGCAGCCAGCATCGGTACTGCACCTCAGAGCCCTTCCTTCTCCATTAGCGCACGAACAGAGTCCGATTCCAGCATCGTTCAGCAGGAGTCGGGTGATCCTTCCTTGGCACCGTCGCGCAGCAACACTTCACGAACTGACTCTAAGGCTATCACTGCAGATCCATCACCTGGCATCGGTGACCTTCCATGGTCTGCAGGCGAGACCGGGCCTTTCGGCTCAGAAGGTGCAGGTCTAGGCATTGAAGGATCCAAGTCGATGACTTTTGGCGATGTCAACTTTGGCAACGGCAATGGCGACGAAGAATGGCGTCAGAGCTTCGACCTCAACGCTGCCATCACTGACTTGCTCCATGACCATGACGAGCTTCATCGACGTAGACAACTGCGGGATCGAGCCCCTTCCGATGCCTCAGAGTTGCGCATTAGCGGTGGAACGAGAGGTTCGACGCAATTGCGATCGGACTCGATCAGGCCTGGCGACGAGTCGATCCAGTCGAGCCGGCTGCAGGGTGGCCTAGCCCGAGGCACCCCGGGACTCGCTGCAGATGGTAGTCAACATGGACTCACTGCCTCATCCTCCCGCCGAGAGCGATTCGCCAGTAGCGGTACGCCCTCTCAGCCTGCGTCTACTGCGCCATCGATGCCACAGGGTACGCCAAGGATGTCGCGCAACAGTGTCTCGTTGCGCAACAAGCGAGCCTCATCTGCCAGCATTGGTCAGTCGCTTCTCAGAGGTTCTGTGCCGTTAGCCTACGCCGAGGACTACGAGAGCCGCCTCAACTCGCGTGAGGATGCAGCCGCCGACGCTCTACGCAAGCTCGATGGTCTCGGCAGCACTCGAAGAGCTAGTCGCGATGGTAAGTCTGATCCTAAGAGTCCTCGCACTAGCCGTGTTCCCTCTCGGCCCGGGAGCGCTTCACGTAGAACACCAGCTTCGAGCAGTCGAGCCTCTTCACCGGATTCGCGAAGTCGCCGTTCCAGCAACTACGACACGTCATCTCGCTCTATCGACAAGACGAGAGGATCTGAAGATTCGATCGCACGCAACAGTCTTCGAGCATCCAAGCTCGTCACACGCGTACGCACGGGGGATGATTCTACTGGCACGCCTCCGCATACCTTGGCCGATCCTGTACGTACCTCTGCCATCTATTCCAGCCCTCGTCTTCGAAGATCGCAGCTGCCCCCTCTTCCCCAGAATGAAATCACGCAAGGTTCGCGTCGCACCTCTGCCGCTCAGAGTGGCACTGCCAGGGACGTATCCGCTTCTGCTAGTCCACTCATTGGGACGCCCGTCATCACGCGAAGCATCTCCCGCTCGAAGCGCATGAGTGGCAACAGCGATGGCTCCGTGATTGTATCCGAGGGCAGTCGTCAGAACTCTGCTGCTGGAGCCTACGACGACCCCGATGCATCCAAGCATACCGCCATTCCTCCTGTGCCTCCTCTTCCCAAGCTATGGGAGGGATCTCGATCTAGCTCACTCACCTCGGAAGCCTTCCGTGCTGTTTCAGCCAAGAGTCCCAGCATCACTACCAGCCACAGCTTCGTGTCCACTATCAGTGGCGATCACAGCGACAAGTTGCCAACGCCCAGGTCACCGCTTAGCCCTCGTACACAGGAGATGGCTGAGGCGGCAGCGCTGGCAGTGCGAAAGCCGAGCTTGAAAGTGCTGAGCGACTCTACTTTTCGACGCTCTTCGACCAATGATGTTTCGATGCAATGTGCTGTGGCCGAGCCGATCGAGGAGATCATCTCATCGACGGAGCCACTTGTGTCTGCAGAATCGACCGGGGTCATGGATCCGGATAGCTCTGTTACTAGCGCAAGACCCAAGTCGAGCTCGTTGCGTCGCACTAGTGTTGCATCGCTTGGCAGACTGATTAGGACCGGACAAAGGGATAATAAAGAGGTCGAGGCGCCTTTGTCGAGCGCTGCCTCCCAGTCGCTGTCTGCGTCGACGGATGCAAGTAGCAGTCCAAAGTCGAGACGTACACCGTCGTTCTTCCAGCGCGCACCAAGGTCGAGCGATGGGCCCACAGCGAGTGAGGCGGGCGTGCAAGAAACCGGAAGGGCTTCGCGCAAGTCGATCTTGGGTATTGCCGGCGGTTTGCTGAGCCGTTCTGGATCGCGCCGTGTCGCGACAGCAAGCAATACTGATGCTCTGTCCAACGCCGGTCAGGCACGAGTATCCGAGGTGGAACCCAGGTCAAGTGCCTCACAGCAGCAGCAGCAGCAGCAGCAGCAGCAGCAACAACAACGACAACAGCAATTGTCACTTGCGCGAAGGCGTGGACAGTCCGTCACCGCAGGCAGCGACACAGTACACAAGATCTCAGCAGCCGTGTCTTCCATGCAAGAGCCACGCAGCCTTGCCAAGGTGAGCGATGGTCCTGCGTCTGCATCGATTGCAGCTCAAACCCCTTCGCGAGCCGCCAGAACTGCTGCGAGTGGCATTCCTTCATCGAGTCCAAGCATTGGCAGTCGCACTGTCTCTCCAAGCAAGTCTGCTTCCTTATCCAGTCGCATCCCGCGCGTGACCACAATGAAGGCTATCCCACGAGCTGCAGCAGCAGGCACTGAGAGCAGCGGCAGCGTTACCCGAGCAGCTGCCACCGCTTCCACTTCGATTCCGGTCAGCAAGTCGCACCACCCCTCTCTTGCTGCAAGCATGGGCATGGTCGCCACACAGCCAACGGAGGATGATGATACAAAGTCGGTCTCTGGTTCGGACACTACTGTGGGTACAGCGAAGCACAGCCATGCTTCGTCCAAGATCGTACCTTCGCCCGGAGGTGGTGTTGCGCAGGTGTCTAGCAGTTTGGTACCAATTCTGAACGCGTATGCGGCTGCTAAGACGCCTGCGGAGGTGGAAGGTGTGTTGAGACGCGCTAGGATTGCGGCTTACTCGTCGAATTTGACGCCGAGCGATCGAGAGATGTTGAATGGTCTTGCTGCTAAGCAGGATCGACAGAAGGCTGATGTTAGTCCGGCTGGCAGCGCTGCTGCTGACAAGCCTTCCTTGCGGGCGGTCAAGCCTAGTCAGACTTCCGCATCCACGGCGAGCGCGAACGTTGCGCCTTCTGCTCCCTCGAACGGAACCAAAGGACCTTCACCCGCAATCGCGACATCGGCAAAAGATACCGGCACCAGCAGCATTTCTGTTCCAGTTCGAAAGACTCGTGCCTCTCTCAGTACCGCTTCCTCCGTGCCACGTTCCACCACCACTACCACCATCGTCAAGACTTCAGCCAGTGAACGCCTAACCAAGATGAGTTCCAGCTCTACCAGCACCTCGATCACTCGTCGCAGTCCTGCATCCTCGGACGCAGCTGGTTCTCTGGCTTCTCCACGAGCCACGCCTGTGCTCAGCGACGAAGAAGAGCGTTTGGGAGATAACGAGATGGAAGACTACATCCGACGTCAACAAGCTCGTAAGCTTGCCGCAGGAGCCTCTCAAGCCGAGTTAGACAAGATGCTCGAGTTCCCCGAAGCTGTTGCGCCTTCGCGTATGCTTTCACCTCGTCAAGCTGAAGTGATGTACGGTAACAGGATGTCCGATTTTGAGCTGCAGGAGATCTTCAACTACAGCGAGATCTACTACTGTGGGCAGAACGCAAAGCGGAAACACATGGCTACCGTCGAAAAGCCGGATCAAAACCATGGATTCGATGACGAAAGAGGTGATTACAACGTGATCAGTCGTGATCATCTTGCGTTCCGATACGAAATCATCGATCTTCTCGGCAGGGGATCTTTTGGACAGGTTCTTCAGTGTCGAGATCACAAAACAGGCCAAACAGTTGCGATCAAACTGATCAGGAATAAGAAACGATTCCATCATCAAGCGTTGGTCGAAGTACGGATTCTGGAAAACCTCAGCAGGTGGGATCCAGAGGAAAAGTACAATGTCATTAAAATGACGGAATCCTTCCTCTTTCGAAACCACCTCTGCATAGCGACCGAGTTGCTTTCAATCAATCTGTACGAGTTGATCAAGGCGAATCAGTTTGCGGGATTCACTACAAACTTGATACGCAGGTTTACCTCGCAGCTTTTACAATCGTTGGTGTTGATGAAGCAACATCGGATTGTACATTGTGATTTGAAACCGGAGAACATTCTCTTGGCTCATCCGAGGAGGAGTGCGATCAAGGTGATTGATTTTGGATCGAGTTGTTTCGAGAATGAAAAGGTATATACCTATATTCAGTCGAGGTTTTATCGGTCGCCCGAGGTGATATTGGGGATGAATTATCATACTGCCATCGACATCTGGTCTCTTGGATGTATTGTTGCAGAACTTTACACCGGTTATCCGCTGTTTCCGGGGGAGAACGAGCAGGAGCAGTTGGCGTGTATTATGGAGATCCTAGGTGTTCCGGATAGGTACCTGGTGGAGAAGAGTAGTAGGAAAAAGTTGTTTTTCGATAGTACCGCACAACCGAGACCAGTGGTGAATTCCAAAGGAAAGAGGAGGAGACCGGCAAGCAAAACGTTGGCACAGGCGTTGAAGAGTGATGATGATCTCTTTGTGGATTTTATCGGCAAATGTTTGATTTGGGATCCCGAAAGGAGGTTGAAGCCGGATATCGCGATGAAGCATGCTTGGATCATGCAGGGCAAGAAGTTGGCGCTCGTGGCGGGGGGTGTCTTGGCTGAGGCTGCCCGTCAGGGAGATAGGGGAGGCGGGTCCAGTTTGCCGAATGCTTTACCGAGGAAGACGACCACGGCGGGGGCTGGTGGTAGGTCGACTGCAGCTAAGAGTATAACTGCCAGTGCTGCGACTACACCAAGGACAAAGACTCTTTCAGCAAGAGCTTCGGCTGCGGTGAATGGAGCTACAGGTGCGACGGGTTATGTAGCAAGTAGCCCCAGAAGGAGTGCTGGGTTGACTTCGACTGCTCATAATACGCCTTTGCGAGTTCCCAAGGCTTGATCTCACCTGCTCTACTCACCTGCTCTACTCATCTGCTCTACTTGCATTCTCTGTGGCATACTCATACCCAAACTAAGGTGATTGCTGCTCTTCGCAACCGGCGATCCAATGCACACGCATGCATTCATTGCTTCACTTTCACTCTGATTTGATCATCTGTCTATGTTCCGCCCACACGAGAGCAAAAACCCATGGCGCTCAGATCTCAAGCCGGGCACATGCCTCGAAGCGATTCTCTTGTTATTGCGATAACAGCATGAAGGGTCGAGAGGACTTGATGGTACACCGGTGGATACTTGAGATTTTATTTTATTTTTGAAAGTGCCGGTGTATATCAAAGCTATGCGCGCTTTGTTCTCCAGATTCTCCTCGGTATTAGGGCTTAGAGGTAGGAAGGGGTTGCTCTCCTAGCCAACTCGAGGATCTTCCAGCCACCTGTTATCTCGTTGTGCAATTCCTCCTCTACCCTCGTTACGACGATAGCGTATCTACACAGATCCGGTTGTTTTTCATTGCCTGCTTGGACTTGTCCGGTCTTGGGATGTTTGAAAAACATCAATTCCTGGCTGGTAAAGCTGACCACCAACACTGGCACGTTGTTCTCGAGCAGCTTGGCTTGCAATATTTCCACGTGTTTTAGATCGAGCAGCCTTCCCTGTGGCAGGAGACCTTTTGTCAGGTATGGATCTATGGTCGCCATTAAAAGATTGAAGGTTGCTTCTCCGCACCATTGTCGGAGGAGATGGCGTGCGGCGGAATGGTAGGAGTCGATCAGTTCAGGGACGATGTACTCGCGGAGATCGCGTTGGAAACTTTCGATAGAGAATGATGGGTCCAGGAGTTTGAGTTGTCGAGTTACTCGGGCGAAATCGTTTTCTTCGAAGAGAGAACCAAACCAGTCGGTCACCGTGCGCACTCGTTCGATGAGCGGGTTTTCGGATTCGCGGTAGGATTCGGAAAGCGAGGAGAGGTGGCGCAAGAGCGGGTTGGAAGATTTGAACGAGGACCACGCTTGTTTGTAGGCCGGTTCGGGACGAAGGACCAGGGATTGTTCGGTGGAGTTGGAGAGGACGGAGCGCGTGCGGACTGCGTAGCCGGCTGGTTTTTTAGGTGCCCGCTTGGGTTCGCAAGTGGAAGCGGTGGTGTCTGGGCAAGGAGACGTGGATTCGGGCTTTTGCTCTTCGGTTGGTTTGGTCTCTTGAACAGCGCTTTCCTCCTCTTTCGCAGCATAGCTCTTCAACACAGCCTCTGCCGCCTCCTTACTATCCACATCCTTACTCGGCATAGGTCTACCGATCTTGCTCAACCTAGCCTCCCTTTTAATCCTCCTAACCTCCTCAACCTCCTTGTCGCCATGCACAACAATCCTCAATGCGCTACCACCGTCATCGAAGGCTTCCGTCAAAGTCTCACTCAACTGTTTATATGCTTCTGTATTCCTAATCGGCGCGGTACTATCTTGCAACTGTCGGGCCAATCTGGAACTGACGGCACCTAGACCTTTGATGAGTTCGGATTCCTCCATCTGTTTTAGTGTTGCTCCAACAGCCTCTCCGACTTGGCCGCCGGATTTGCGTAGTGCTTCAGCAGCCGCTTGCAACTTGGGGTTAGACTGGATGGAAGTGATGATTCGTGCGCGTTCGTAGGCGTCACGCATACGTTTCATCGTTTCGGAATCTTGCATTTTGCCTACGTCTCCGGAGAGTTGACGCATGTTTTCTTGGAGTTCTCGGTTCTTGCGAAGTTCAGTTTTGAGGGTTTCAACAAAGACTGCGAATGGGGAACGCGGGGCTTCGAAGCGACGGTGAGAAGCATGAAAGCCGCGAGCGAAGGGGGTGGCGGTGCGACGAGGAGTGATGATTGCGGATGTAGCTCGAGATGAGAGCCAGACCCGCACTGCGGGAGTTGTGCGAACCATGTTGTGTAAAAGCGTGCCAGGGAGGGCGGTGCGAATGTGATGGTGTGGTCTGAGGCAAGATGGTTGGTGGTGGTTGGTGGTGAGGGGATGGATCACAACTTACGAGTCGAGTCAAAGAAAAGGACGTCGAAATTTGCCGCTTTGAACAGCCGAGCGACGAATGACCGAAGCTGACATAATCCCCCATGTCACCTCCTCGGCTTCGTCAAGAACGGTTTGCTTCCCTCCACCTCCGGCAACAGCAGAGCGCTTTCCAGTTTGGCCTCAGCTGAGAAATGTCAAAAAGTCGCGTCAAACGGCGAGAATATTCTGTTCTCGGCCGTTCTAATCAACGCTGAGTTACTGCCCTTTTATCGTCCTTGACAACGCGTGAAAATTGTTGGAAAAGCAGGCTGAGAATTTGAGGAAAAAGGAAAAGAAAAGAAAAAAAACAAAAAAAAAAAAAAAAAAAAGGAAATGTTAAACTGCCTAACTCGAGTGAGCATTGGTCACTTACTTGCCCCTTCGCCCACCATTGAAAAATGCGCATCTATAGTTGAGGGAAACATAACAATGGTTGGAGACACATCGGAACTGAACAGAGCCTATGGGGTCCATGGAGGGCAAATAACCATTGATGATATGAAACCACACATCAGTGGCTACACATGTGGGATGCATAGGCATTACCATAACAACTTAGGAGCAATGTGAGGGGTGAACTAGTCATAGATGGGCACAGGCTGAAGGTAACTGCCAAGCATGCACATATATATATGCTTATGTAAATAGCACTCAAAAATGATTCATCAGTAACTCAGCACCAAAATTCTCAACTGATTAAGAGTCTGAAGCTCAGCAGCTTCAAGGCACCTTGCCATCAAGATGCCACCCAGAGTAAACAGCATAGCTCTGCTTGAATGCACCATGCAAATGATCAGAGAGGTTCACCCCAACTGGAACGAAGACCAAATCTTGGAGCATGCCTTCTCTATGATGAACCTCCAACCAAATACCAGCCAAGTCAAAAAGATTCCTAAGTCAGTACTCAGCATTGTATCACAGTTCATCAAGCTCAATGAGAACAACTGGGCCATCTGGGAGCCCATGTTTATGGACTGCATATGGCCCATCAAGAATGCAAAACAGATCCTCACTGGGGAAATATCTAGTGACCACACAGACTATGATGAAGAGCTAAACAGTCACCTGTTAGGCCTTATTCTGTTGTCATGCAACCACAGTCCTGAGAGCAGTATTCATACATACACCATTCAAGAACAAGGCGAAGAGGAACAACTCAGCTCTACACTGTATAAGAAACTCAAAGCAGCACTCACAATCAATGATGAAGTCAAACTTTCTGCAATTCATGACTGAGTGCATGAGATCAAGCTAGTCCACCAAAATGTCACCAACCTTGGAAAGGAACTAGATCGAATTTGGAATGATGCTGCAAGACTGGGCAGTCACATGGATGAAAAGCTCAAGAAGTCCACCTTGTACCATTGTGTCAAAGATGACTGGCTCTATACTCAGACAGTAGACTCCCTCAAAGCTGCACAGCCAAGCTGTAGCTATGAATATGCCTACCATGCACTTGCCAAGAAACATCAAGAAGCCGAACTCTCTGGCTGTATCCGAGCTGCAACCAGACTCACCGGCAACAAGAACATAAGCAACCAAGCCAGCAGACCTAGCCAAATCCTAAACCAAGAAGGCTACAACAGAGGCAGATGTGATCCCACAAACCCTAACAAACTGGCTAAGTGTTACAAATGCAGGCAACCTGGGCACATTGCAATCAATTGCACCAGCAGTCAGGAGCGAACTCCTACTCAGCAGGGATAGGGATTTGGGTGCACCCTGTCATGGGCCTAGATGCTCAAGAAGCAGGAGGGTCACTGGTGTCATGGGCCTGGATGCTCAAGAAGCAGGAGGGTCACTGGTTCATATGGAAGGAGCACAGGTATCGAAGACCTAGTCGACACCAGTAGAGAGCATGGTCGTAGTGCAGTCTCCATGGAGACCATGGACTCCTATGGACTCACATGCAAAGGAGGGCCAAGCACAGCCACGAGGAGGACCAAGCTCAAGGAGCAGGCACAGCCACGAAGAGGACCAAGCTCAAGGAGCATGCAGATGGTTACCACTCAGGGGCTCGAGAGACAAGAGCCAAAGGAACTGTCACTGATCAATGTCACTGATCAAAGGAGGAGGAGCAGTGTCGAAGGAGTCGACACCAGGTCATGAGGAGGAGGAGCAGTGTCGAAGGAGTCGACACCAGGTCATGAGGAGGAGGAGCTGTGTCGACCAAGAGGCACAGGGGTGCCAAGCAGGAGAGGCCCCTGAGCAGTACTCGATGAAGAAGGTACTCTATGGAGAGAGAGCAGGAGCAGCATCGCTGGCGATGCTGAGAAGAGGTATATAACCATGCTTTCTCATCATCATAGGTCGAGTGGATCCTCATCCACTCTACTCACCATACAACTAGTCAATACTTTAGAAACACAAGTACTCATTAGTTACAGTCAGCATAGCAGCAATCTATCAAGGTTGCTCCTCATCGTAGTGTGTGTGTTGTATCACCACTACCTGACGTCCGAAGGCGCCCATAGCAGGTTAGCGGTCCGGATATAGATAGAACCGAAGGCAGTAGTCCACTGCGGTCCGGGGATCACTTCAAAGCATCAAGTCAACACACTGGACACTCGTGTTGACGCCACCAACCTTATCACCAACACCATCAACCTCATTATCATTGACATCACCAACCTTATCATCAACACCATCAACCTCATTATCATCGACGTCACCAATCTCATCACCAACACCATCAACCTCATCATCATCAACACCCACACCAGACCTTGGTGTCATCATAACATTGATATTGATCGTGCCGAGCTACCCCTGAACGGAGTGTCCACAGAGGTCAGCCGAAACCTACGATAGTATATACAATGAACGCCACCTGCTGTCACTGCACAACTTGATAGTCACTGATACCGAGACAATAGCTGTCACACAGTTTAATAGTCACCGAGTATCTCGACAGACCGACCTGGGTTTCAGGCGCGAGACCCCTGACATTAGAGTGGATCGTTCAAGCAGCTCCTCACGATCACCATGACGGACCCAGACCTCAACAATAAGCTCGATAGACTACTCACTCTATTGGAAGCACAGCTAGAGCTTACCAGACAGGGTCATCGAGAGGAACGATTACAACGAGCTCAACTGAGCAGGGAGGAGACAATGGACCTCTCTCACTCGGAAGACCAAGCAGGAGGAGGAGATGAGTCTATGATAGGAGACCCACATACTCCTACTCCTGCTCCACGATCAAGACGATCAGTCTCATTCAACCTGGATGAGCAGGAGGACATCAACTATGAGAAGTACGCTTCACCTACTGGGCCAAGATATGTCAAGACTAAGCTGGACCCCTACAGCAGGACTAGGACGGATCCTTACCCCCTGGACCACGAGGAGGATACCAGCATCATGGCAGAGCTTAACCGGTCAAAGCCCATTGCCACCCCCTTTCCAAAGTTCAATCCCCGAGACATGGAGATCTTCATTCTAGAAGTCGAAGCATGGTTTAAGTTCAACCAGGTGTATGAGCAGTCTAGGATGATCAATCACATGGGTGCTCAACTGGAAGGGACAGCAAGAGAGTGGTGGACCTCCAAGCTCCGCATTGATAGAGCTAGAGAAGGAAGGTTGTTCAATGATTGGCACTACTTCACAGAGCGACTGTCAGAGCAGTTCAACCCACGCAATGCTAGGATGGAGGCATACAACAAGCTGTTGGCTCTCAGACTCACAAGTGATGCTCCTGGTGCCGCCACACGTCATGTAGAGCGGTTCAGAGACTTGGAGGGACAGGTCAACCTAGATGACAACGAGCTAGTGATTGATCTCTTCAGAGGTAGTCTCACTCGCAGCATACAGGAGAAGTTCGAGAGGAATCCACCTGGGAAGAGATGGGAGTGGTATCGAGAGGTTGAGGAGATCGATCGACAGAGGATGCTACTACAGCAGTCCTCGGCTAGACACTCACTTCCAAATGCCACATCACCTCCACTAAGAACTGGGTCTCGGCCAAATCAAAGTTCAATCCCCATCCGACAACCCACTCAACCTTATCCAGCTCGATCACCATCACAAGCAACTACACAAGCAACTATACAAAACCTAAACCGACCCCTTCCTCATCATCCCACCCAACCCTCGAAGCAAGGAAGCCCTGCTCCATCAGGTATCAACACCTGTCATGTATGCAAAGGTATCGGCCATTGGGCCAGAGACTGCCCCAGCAGGAGGGTAGACCCTCTTAGCTCTCGACCCATGGGACCAAAGGTTATGGTCACCACAGCAGATCCCTTCGAGGAGGCCACCGACTCAGGAGATGGCCACACAGGCAGCACTGAGACGGGTGACCCCGAGGCCATGGACCTCAGCTCATACCAGCAACCCATGGACCCCGATCACGAGGAGGAGCACGATGATGATGACGACGAGGGAAACGTCAGTGGGGTGATGCACTGATGGCATGCATTGCTCTACAAACCTCCTCGCCATCACTCTGTATATATCAAGATTGTCAAGTATGTTTCTCTACCAGTGGAGGCAAAGCAGTACTGGAGCTCTCTGGAATGGTTCAAGACCATCCTGCTCGGATACTAGCTGATACCGGTGCTGGTTTGTCCATAGTCTCAGATTCTTTCATTAGTAAGTACCAAATACCCATAAAACCCATAAAAACAAGATCGATCCATGGTGTCACTGGGCACCAACTCTCCATCAATAGTTCTGCGAGCATGCAGGTATCTATTGGTACACACAATCTGGGTGTGGTCGAAGCTTCAGTGGCCGACACTGCGGACTATGACCTCATCCTGGGGTTCACTGAGCTACGGAGGCTCAAACCCACCATACAATGGGATACGGGCCAGCTGGAGTTCAAGACTCAGGGGCAGGACCGACCCCCAAGGAGACCCCCTGAAGCAGCAAGA